AAGTAAGTTTGAGATATTTCCTAAGAAATATATTCTAATAACCCAGTTTGGGAAAGAACATACTCAGCATGATCTGTTTGGAATTTCTTCTCTTTGAAGGAGAAATTGTTTTTTTTGTCCCTGTCATAGTTATATGGCTTTACTACTGTAAGTTCAAACTTGGTAGTTTTTTAAAATTAAACTGTTACCATATGTGTAATAATCTTATTACATGGTTGGGAGTGTAGCTAATTGAAGTTATTTTCAAATAAATAAGGAATTTCTAGGTTTATATTACAGCGTTTTTGTGTACCTTGAAATGGAGAAGTATTTTCCGTATTGTTAATGAGGGAAAATGTGGGGTCTTTAAATCATTTATTTGCCACAATATTTTGTATGATACCGGAGACAGTCACTAGAATACTTGGATGGAAGAATGCAAGCAAAGTCAATTCAAGCAAAGCTTTAATGCTATAATTTGATTTCACCTTTTTTTAATATAGATAGTGGTGTAATTTAAATTCATCTTCACTGCTTGTTCCTTGGATCTTATCCACCTGCTTTGACTTGAAAGAATTGAATGCAAATTGCTTCCTTCTCACAGTAGTTTTCTGTGGTGTAAGTCATGTGAACTCCAAACATTGACTTGTTTCCTTGAATTATTGCAGCCTGTGCTGCTTTGGATAGTTCTACCTTCTGATTACCTAAGATGGTTACAGTTCTTTAAAATGCCACTGCTTTCTGTCTTGAATTCATTATATATTTAATACGCTTTTATTCTGATGCTTACAGTGAGAATTAGGCTTTAGATGTGCAGATTCTTGTGGAATTAAGAATTATGCATTTGCTTCTCTGGCAGTTGTTTAGAATACAGTATTATGGGAATGTAATATGTACTTGTTCTTGAATACAATTCTGATGCAAGAATGGAAAAATGGAATGAGATGTATTAAATACTTTTAGATGTGTAGGGTTTACCTCCCATCATATTTTATAATGAACTTGTAAAGTATTTTTTCACTTTATGGTAATTAGTTTGCATTTTTCCCAATAGCAAGTTCCATAAGAATTCTTTTTCCTGTAATCTAATGTACAGTTTGATGATGATATCATAGAATTTAGCTCTGTGTAGCAATCCTGAAGATAACATTTTAGTTATTCCTTACTTGATGAGAATGTTATCCTTGACTTCTGCCAAAGTATCACTCCAGAATATTTTTACTTCACTTAGTATGACAGCACATTTAGGTAACCAGAAGGAAATAATACCTAAAGATACCCATTTGAAACTTAGGTTATTAGAGATGCCCTTTGATGTACTTAAGGTTTAAATCATACTTTGAATTGGATACAGGAGGTAAACAGTGAATTATTCTTAAATTGGAGTTTTGTTCAGTGTTACAATCCAGTACTGCCCACAGCACCTACTTGACCTGCTTGGCCATTTTGGTGTTGCTGTTTGGTGTTAGTCATTACAGAGAAATTTGTTGATTTCATAGTTGCACGTGAGATTAGCTGGTTATAAGGTGTTAAAGGAAGAGAGGGAAAACTGGAAACTAGTTTGAGGTTTTTTATACTGAAAACTGTAAGCAGTCTGAAGAGAGTAAGGAAAAGTGTTCAAATATCATGTTAAAAGTAGTGAATTAAAGCTGGAGAGGTGAGAATGAAATTATGGATGCCTGTTGTGGTTTATCTCTGGCCAGCAGCTAAGCCCTACACAGCCTCTCACTGGCTTGTATCGGAGAGCTGGAAGGGTAAAAGTGCAAAAGCTTTGGGTTGAGATAAAGACAGGTTAATTAAAAAAAAGGAAAATAGGGAGAAATGACAAGGAAAATCAAACACAAGAAACATGTGATGCAGAAAAATGCAGTAGCTCACCACCAGGTGACCAATTATCAGCCAGTCCCCAAGCAGCACAGGGAAACTGCACACCCACACCCTTCCCCAGTTTTTTATTGCTGAGTGTGACACCCTGGGGAATGGAATACCCCTGGGGTCTGTAGGGGTTGGCTGTTGTGGTGGGCATCCCCAGCCTACTCACTGATGGGGTGGAGTAGGAGACTGAAAAAATGACTCTCTGTAACTAACTGAAACTTGACTCTCTGTAAGCACTGCTTGACTAAAGCATTCCTGAATTATCAACAGTGTTTCCAGCACAAAAACCAGCACCATCTACAACCTACTGTGAAGAAAATTACTCAAAGCCAACAACAAAGGTCTTAGTTGTTTTCAGAGATTTCTTTGAAATTATGATGGTCTGTAAAAGTGTAGATGAAATGGAAAATGATGTTGAAACTCATGTACATGACTCATTTTGCCTGTTTGGGGAAATGGTTGATGCATGCCATTGTAAAACTGCAAAATAATATATTTCTTTGATCAGCTCTAGCTTCAGTGTGTAAAAGCTTTGTGTATTTCCATTAATTCTGTCATAGAGGTCACAGAATTCTGTAAAGAGGTCTTCTGGAGCTGTGTGTGAAGGGGAGATTCAGAAAGGGTTTATTTTGTCATTTCTGCTGCACTTTTAAATTATGAAAACTAGTTCCATTTTAGGGCGCGTGATTGTATCAGTACCATAGAGTAATCTGAGCTGTTTTTCATAGTAATTCTGTGTTTACATCACAAAAAATACAGATGAAGGTGTTTTCTTCCCTACAGTTTTCATCCCCTGTTCTTGCATCTTACATTCTCTTTATTTCTTCTCTCCCAGAATGAATGGTGATTCTGAGATAATAAGCTTTTCTGGCTCTGAGATCCTCTTTGTTGCAGTTTTGGTTGTGTGTTTGGAGAGAGAGAGAGAGCAAATTAAGGAATGTTTATGTCAAGCCTGGCTTCATCTTTCTTTTCTAGCTAATTTTTAGTTCTGCAGGGATTACTTTTTCCCATTGAAACGAATGCATCAGTAACTGTTCTGGTTCATCTGTCTTTAACAGATTAGTTACCTCACATGGGAATTGTTAGTTACCTTTATTATAATCTGGTTTTCTGGTGATAATGCTTCTTGAATTTTTGTATGCTTCCTACTGAATGTAGTTGATATGTGACCGTGAAATTGTACTGTGATTAACTTGTGTTCTGAGAGCAGAGGCAGCAATCAGACAGTGAAAGAAATTAGATTTTCTCTATTCTCAAGGGTAAAAGTAAAGTTCAAGTTTGCTGTTTTACTAATAGTATTATATCATGCTTCTCTGCAATTACAAATATTCTAGTCTTGTAAAATAATTGATATCAGCCACCGTAAGAACCTTTCTTTTTATTTAACATAGGTTATAAAATCAGTGGTTTCACATGAATAGACTTAGGCAATGCTGCTTGAAATGGTAGTAACATTTAATTAGAATGACACTTGTATAAGCTTTTTACCTCTGGTCAGTTTTGTTGGAAACTGTAAACTTGGAAGTCATTCTCTTTTATCTGTTGGTTGATAATGTTGTTTGATGGACAGACTTCAGCGTATCTCAGGGAGGAGAGTTCTTGGGTGTGAGTTCTAAGGTGGGAGGTAAAATAATGGAAGGTATGAAGATGCTGGAAGGGAGGAAGAGAGTTTCTTCTCCTTTCTGTTGGTCAGGAATTTGTCTTCAAGTGAGTAAAAGTCGTCATAATTGGGAGGAAGGTATACTTTACTGAAACATTGCAGACCATAAGTCTTATTATTGCTACTTACTGAGGAATGCTTAGTGTCTAGAATATAGAATTATTTTCATGGTTTGTCTAGTCCTGGGTAGCCCAGATTTGATCAGCTTCTGGAGTAGCTGTTTCTGGGATGAACCAGTGACCTGCTAGCCTCTCAGTGTAAACATGACCATCAGTCTTACCAGAAGTAAGATATAGATTTTAAGGTGATGTGCATTCCATATGTTCAGTTCTCTGGATGTTGAGAAAGTGAGTTAGTAAACATATTTGCTACGAGTGATTTGTGATAAAATACTGAGCATGAGAACCTGTGTTGGGTAAGTGAATCAGTATGACCATGTGAAATGGCAAATGAAGGACAGGAGGCAGACAAAGTGTGCTTTTGCTGCATGGGAGCTTGGTTAGAAAGATTAAGTTGGTGTGTTTTTTGTCAGAATCAATCCATGCCACTAGTTCAAGGCCTGTACACAAAAATCAAAGTATAGTGTTTGGTTTAGTTGATTACGGCTTTGCATGTTTGAGCAGGACTTGATACTGGAATAGATCTCCTGAGAGTTCTTTAAAAACACACACACACATTCATTCTTGATCCTGTACAGTTTATTTTAAGTATGTATTGCTTCAGCACTGGAAAACCTAGGCTTTATGAAATTCCCTATGATTTAAGCGTGCAAAATGACTAGAGAATAGACAAGACTAGTCTTGACTCAAAGATGTTTCCTAAAATTAGTTCCAGTAATTTAAAATTATTTTGAAAATGTATAGTTGAAAAATTGCTGAAAATGTTTGCAAACTATTCATCCTTCTGTTATAATGTATTTGAAAATAATATTAAATAGAGGTGCTACAGACTTTTTTCCTCTCCCTTAGTCATTACTGTGGTATCTCACACTGTTTAAAACCAGGGGTGATAATTGGTCATTCAGATTTCATCTAAGAACTAGCAGTGGATTGTTGGTAGTGTTTCAGTATAATATGTATTTATCAAGCAGTATACGTTTTATATTCTTTATGGGTAAATTAATAGTTTGAATAATATTTGTGTTTTCCTTCTTATTTCTATATACATCAGCTGTGAAAAGAGCTGGCCAGTGTCTTCACAGAAGCATTTCAGGGACATGATGTTTAGCTGGCATGACTGGATGCAAATTTAAGCATCCAGTTTTGAATATAGATTAACAAAGTAATTATGATACAGTTTGCAGTCAATGCAGGTGGGAGAGTACAGGTACTTATGAAACTGTAAACATGTTTTTTCTGTTTTATAATAATCCTGGTTTCAAATGTTTGCCTAAATAGTTTTGCTATCCAGTAGTTTTCTGTTACTTAATTTTATAAATGCGCTTATGATGCCATTTCTATAACTATGCCTTTGTTTCATTTTACAGAGGAAATAAAGGCTGAAACAGAAAAGCAAAGGTATGTGATAATTCATTGTATTAAGTGATAGTGCTTTTAACATCTTAAAATGTGTACCATACTTATTCTGCATGGAGAGTATGGACTCTGTCTGAAAAACATTTTCAGCATATTTTGGGTGGTTGGTGGTATCCGGAAGTGTACAGATATTGCTGCTTTATGTGTCTGGCTGTTCTGGTGCAAGGCACAGGGCTTAGGAGAAGCAGCAGAAGGTAGCTCAGAAGGGAGCAAGGTGGTACTCTCTGGCCAGGGAGTGTAGGAAATAGGGATCAGAGTTGGAAAAGATCTTTGTGGATGGCACAGAAATTTATTTCAATGTATTGCTGGAGGAGCCTTGAAGTAGATTCAGGGAAGGGGGAAGAATGCAGGTAAAATACTTGAAGTGAGTGATCAGAGGGAGGAGGTCGGGGCGCTGAAGTGGGAGTGAGCAGAGCAAAGTAATGTAACTGGCAAAGATAGTGTCTGGAAAGGACCTTGTTAGGGTATAGATTTGTGAAGGCAGTTCTTCTACAAGTGATGGTAAAACCAAAAATTGACATTCAACAGTCTTTTGCTGTCGACAAACTTCTAAGTGTTGCTAAGCTGTGGGATCTGTTATTGGCATTTCATTACATATTCCACAGGATTGTCTTCCTCATCCAGTGTTCCTAACTCTGAGTCAGGACTGGGGTGAAGACTGTTCATACCACTTGTTGAGAGAAATGGATCAGTGGGTGAAACAGGATGAAAATGTTCTTAGGCAGCTGGGTGCTGCTTGGGGATCTCTATTCTGCCCTGTAACTGGATTTCAGTATTGGGTAAATCATTAAAACCACAGCTGTCAAAGTTGGATGCTAAGGATTTCTGCTTCATCTCCTGGATATTTGAGCAGAAATCTACAGTTTTAGTTTGGAAAATAGAATCACTTCTAGCAGTAATTAAGTCAGTGGGAACATTGTTTAAGAAGATGTAAAGGAAAACTTAATAATATCAAATATGCTGAAAAATTTAGTCTTGCAGCTTATCAAATTGGGCTCGTAAAACTTAAAGGGTGCATCTCATTGAGATTGTGCTTCGCTTTCCCCCAGCAAAATGAAGTCAATACAATGAGCTCATAGTAAGATTGTAAAAATAAATTTCATATTTATGTAGTGTTTAGAAAACATTGCATCCAGAACTACAAGATTGTCTCAGACAGAAAGTAATAATATGAATTTATAATAGGTTTTTCTTAGAGTGGTATAAATAAAGCAGAAGTCCACATTGTGAAGCATGATAAGAAAAAATGCTTTATGTTAAATATTCAGTGAGAGATGTTTGTTCTGGGCACTGAATAAGGAAAAGTAATATCCAGTCCTGTAGTTAAATACCATGCTAAAACTACAGAATTAAATGAGACCACGGAATTAAAATAATTTATACAAATGTGGTTGGGCCATTTCTGAACTTCCAGTGCATAATTTCTGCCCTATCAATATCTGAAGTTGGGATCTTTTTGGGAGTAAAATGTGTATGTCTTATCTTCCTATTTTCTAAATAGATTTTGGTTTCTTTGGTGCTGTCTTTATTTTAGACAGTAGCCTTTTGCTACTGTGAAGGCTTTGCTGGTTTTGGAAATTGTGAATGGACTTCTCTATTGTTACTGTAGAGTCAAATTGTTTAGGTGCAGTAGAAAATACTGTTTTTCTAGGCCCTAGGATAGAGAAACTTCATAGTCTAGTAAATTATTTTCAGGATCTTACTTCTGTAATAGAGATTCAAATGTCCTAATAAGGGATTTCTAATGATGAGTGTTTAAATTTTTCCAGTTCCTGTTCTAGGTAACTGATCTCAGTTAACCTGGAATGAACTGAAGAGTAGATAATTTCCACTTTCCAGAAATTTTGTGTGGAAAACAGCTCCTTTTGTTCTGCTATTTGTTTTTTAAACAGAACTGGTATTTGGTAGTGGGGTGCAGGGGAAGGGAATAAAAAAGTACAAGCTGATTTATGTAACCATTACACAGCAAATGCTGCCAAAATAAATTTCCAAATCCATTACTTGATACATACCTTAGCCTTTTTCTATGGATAATACATAAATACCAGCATATTTCATAATTCCCATGCTCTGTAGATGCCTTGGGGGAAGAAGGTGTTGGGAATAGTTGCTGGGTTTAGAAGCAATTCACTGACATTAAGAAGTCCTTTTGAGTTTCACTTCTCCTCTCTCTGCTATCCCCTTCCCTTACATTACCAGCAGTGTGAAGAGCTTATTGAGTTGTTTTTCCAGAGACAAATGTGCATCATCTTCCATATTTAATATCTTGCCCATTTTAAGATAGCTTTCAATTCAGAGAATAGGAGACGCTCCAGGCTAATGTAGCAGCTTGCTGTGGCACGGGTTCTTCATTTTTGGAATCTCACCATGGCCTGCTCCTTGTTTTGAACAATTCTGGGTTTATTTCCAGAGTGGTCTTTTTAAGTTAATTTTAATGGTTTCAGTGGGCATAATCACTAGATGAGGTGCAGTCTTGTCATAAGGCACAAGCAACAGATAACTGCCCTTTCATTCCTCAGAGTAAAGCTTTTATAGGGAGTATCAGAGAGATTCAGGAACATAGAAGAATCATGTACTTCCTCTGCAACTTATCTGATTAGGGTGTTGTTCAAAAGAGCTCTGCTTCCAGCAGAAAAATACAGGGCAATAAATAAAGTTATGCATCCAACAAAAAAAAAAAAAAAAACAAAACAAAAAAACCCAAAACAACTCTGGCTTTCTTCAGAGGTTTCTTTTTTTTCTTTCAGGAAAAAAAATGTGTAGGGATAAATTCTTAAACCTTCAAAAGAGATATAGCCAGTAAAAAGTAGCATCTTAATACTAATTACTAACTCTTAAGTCTTGAATTTGGGTGCTCTTTTTAAGCAACCTAAACAAGATCTGTTTGAATGTGGTGACAGATATAATCTCAAGGACAATCCAGCCTGCTCCTTGAAAAGCTGAAACTAATTTGTATTGATTAGTTTAAGGCCCACTCTGTAATGTGTGGGACTGCAGTCATGCTTTGGATTTATAATGAACTCTTAGCAGTTCATTCTTCTAGTTAGGGAACATGAAATTGAGTGCATTCCTTGAAGCATCTGTTTTAATTAGCAATGTGCATGCTGTATTTCAATGCAGTTGTTCTACCAAGATCTGGTTGAATTACTGCAAGAATTCTTTAAGCCTTCACTATAGAATATGACACTTTGCACTTTTTTTAATACTGCTTTTCAAGCCTGTGTAAGACAGTGTTGTTTACCTTTTATCTAAAGATACCTGTGAGTGCAAAAAAAAGGTTGGGAATGTTTTATATAAAGGTGATGAGTTATTCTATGAAATGAAAAATCTAAACATCTTGCTTTGAGCCAAAGCGAAACTGCATTGATGCACTCAAATTAGTGAAAAATGACCCATTCCTAATTATCCTTTTGTGATATTAATGATCACGACCTTTCTAAAGGTGCTGTAATAAATAAAACTTCAACAGCTCAGAATTTTCTTGCTTTTGTTACAGTTAGTATTTTCAGATAATTTACCCACGTGAGATATGTTGGTTCTGCTCATTTTGTTCTGTTAGTTTGTTGCTTTAGCCAGTTTAGTAAGGGGAGTCCTTTGAGAGGAAGCAAGTCTTTCTGCTTCCAAACCAGCAGGTACCACTGGATATCCCCTTAGTAGGCAAGTGGGTCAATTTGCCTGGTCCACAAAGGAGCCATGAAGTATAAAAGGTGTTAAGAATACTTTACAGATTACTATTCTTAGAAGTTTGTCTTTCCTAACGTTAATTTTTTTGATATTGTATTTCATTCATAAACATTGTGGTGGTGAGAACAATTTGTGTGATCACTTTACAGTATTCTAATACAGTCATTCTGTTTAGTCCCCCTCATGGAGAAGCAAAGTCTGGTTCAAGCACTCTTCCACCTGTGAAATCAAAGACAAGCTTCATTGAAGCGGACAAGTACTTCCTACCATTTGAATTGGCATGCCAGTCCAAGTGCCCCAGGATTGTCAGTACATCTCTAGATTGTTTACAGGTCTGTATGAAGATGAGTTTTCACTATCAACTGTAAAATCCTGTTGCTTTGGAGAGGGAGCAGTTATATGAAATAAATAATGTCATGGGGTTTTTATTCTTTTACTTGATTGCACACACAACCAAACAGAATGTGTTTCTCACAAAAGATGAATGAATGCCTTATTTATTATGTAGTGTATGTGTGTTTTTCTTTGTCTGTTTTACCAGCGTTTCCTGGTTGGGTTATTATGTACAGCAACCTGTTTTCATGTGTTTAAATGTGTGTTGAGCAAACACAGCAGGTATAGCATTAGAAATTCATTTTATACTATTTATAATTGCAGTAAAATATTTACAATTTGAGATGTCTAGTCTCTCAAAACTCTCAAGGTTCCTGTAATGTTTTCAGAAGAAATTCTGCAGCATTGTATTTAGCCATTCACTCCTCCAGAGCAGCCCAACAGTGAACTCAATTTACAGTCACAGGCACATGTGTGCCTGGCCTGCTCTTGTACCATGATGCTACTCTGTGTAGCATGGGGATTTACAAGTACTCTTGTGCCTAAAGTGTTCAGAAGAGGATTTTACTAATTTTGTAATAAATTTCACTTCTAACTATTGAAGACCCAGGGAAAGCAAAGGATACTAGAAAACCAAACACCAGAAGAAACTCTAAAAAATAGAACACTAGCTAGTAGCTCAAATAGAGAGCATTTGCAGATGGTTTATCTGGTATAAAAAGCATTTGCATATTGACTATATATAAAGACTTCTGTGATGTGAGTTAATTTTTGGAATCCTGTTTGGTTTAGAACATTAACTGCTGAACAAAACTTTATCTTGCTGAAAAACTTTGTATAGCAGTTGCTGTCTGAAAATTGAATAAATCTGGAGGATATGTAAAAAATCCTTGTTGTTTTATGATACATGGGGTAAAAGGTACTGTTTTATTTATTCTGTGCAAGTTAGAACTATCAAGTGAATTTATTTATTATAACCAAAAGCTGGCCTAATTTTTTAAAGCTCTTATTTACATGGGTTTTTTTCCTCTCTCCAGAAACTTATAGCATATGGGCACTTGACAGGGAATGCTCCAGACAGTACAGCTCCAGGAAAAAAACTAATTGATAGAATTATCGAGACAATATGTGGCTGTTTTCAAGGCCCTCAAACAGACGAAGGGGTTCAGCTACAAATAATAAAGGTAACATGTTTAATACTTCCTGTATTTATAGTGGTGGCAGCAGGAAGACATTCTTGACCTCAGAGTTCAAAACCAGAAGTGCTTAATTTGTAAATGTCATGGTAGTGTTAAAATACTTTCTTCATCCTGTTTCTTGGAGATGTAAACTCCCTATTCTTTGCCCTTCCCCTAATTTCTTCCACTGCATTTTGGGTGAACTCATGGTTGTGGCTTCAAGTCTAGTACCACTGGGTGAAATTCATTCACAGCAGACCTGTGGAGCCTCTAATTGTGAGGAATTACTGTCAAACAATCCTGCACTCCCAGTGGGAGAAATGGTAATTAAGCAGCAGATTTTAAAATCCATTTTGGAATTTGTTGATGAAATGCAATTAGACCTGGCAGTTGGACATTACCATGGTAGCTTTGTACTGCTGTGTCATACACTTTTGCTTGAAGGAGGTCCAGGGTTTGTTTCCACAGCTTATATAAATGTTGCATGTGGAGTTTGTACAAATGTTTCTGGGGAACGTGTTTTCTGATTGCAGCCATTAATTATGGGTATTTGTTTCAGGAAATTACTATGCCAAGTACTAGAATTTGGCTGCTTAGTGGAAATGCTGTACCCTGTTCCTGTAACAGCAGTCTTTAAATAACTGTGATGGTGAACAGCAGTGAAGAATACGTTTGAAGTTAGTTAAACAAAATGGAGTATTTGTTACCTCATAATCTTGTGTATATGTATCCTTAGACATTAACATTTCTTGCAGATTGTACTTACTTGTATTAATGCAAAAAATGTACTTTGTTCTTCTCCTTTTCATAGCTCAAACCTTCCCTGTTCTTTTTTGCACTCCACTTCTGCAGATAGTTGTTACAAATGTTGGTTCATGCTGCTGTTTTCTAGATTTGTTGTGTTGTTTTGCCCATGTGTTTAAGATGTTTGCCATCCTGCAAAGGGAAGTTTTTATTGATTTAAACTTTCAGTGGCTGATACTATTATAACTCTCTCTCATTGTAATACTGTCTGTTTGAATGCTTTCTTATTCCAGTCCTCCCTGCCTGATGGGGCTTTAAGAGCTAATATTCCTTCTGTTCAGGAGAAGATTTGAGAAAGTCAGTTCTTCAACAATTGCAAAGTGCATTAAGTGTGTACACTCTTTTAGTCCCTTAATTTTTTTTACTGTTTACGTGTAGCTAATTGCCATGTTAGAGTAACTGGGAAAGTGGAGAGTGCTGTTTTGCCTTTGACTCCATCTTTGTCCAATACACAGAACACCATAAAAAGCTTGAAAATTTTAAATAACCTTGGCAAAGACCAGAATTTTTGACTTTGAAAGAATAATGAAACTTCTAAGTCAGTCATACTCTCTTAGGCCCCCTAACGCTTCAGTTCTGAGATGAATGTGGACCCTGCTTCTCCAATATGATTTGAAGGATGATCTTCTTAGACTCTTCTGTGGTTCTGGTGGTTAGTATGTTGTCTGAAGAATCTTAATTCCATCAGGGGTATAGAAGGCAGCAGACCTGGATCTCCTGCTTTTTTGTGCTGGTGTTCCCAGGCTGTTACCCACAACATAAGCAGCACTCCCACAGGGCAGCTGCTTCACCGACACCACAGTGAAAGCTGAGAACTTTGATCACTTGGACACCTTCCTCTCTGGAGGATTGTCTTGGTTCTGCATGCAGAAAGGGCGGCCCTTGGGTAGTGTGCTGCCCTCACTCTGGGGTCTGGGAGCCATCATGGGGCAAGAGCTAACAGGCACTGCAGGTTTCCTGCTCACTGCGTGCCTTTCCGGGGTGGAGTCATCTGCAGCCAGTTCCCAACTGCCACTCAGACATTCTGAAAAGACCTTTCTGCTGACTAGCAAGGAAATAATCTTCTTGCTGAAACAGAGAAGTGCAATTTGTCTTTTTTTAGCTATCTAAGCTTTAGAGTCATGTCCTGCAACAAGAGACACCAGTTTAACTTTTCTGCTCCTATAGCTCACATGTTCTCTTCTCTTCTGTGATGCTCTTGTTCTTCATCTACAGACTCTGTGATGAACTAGAATGGGAAATTGGCCTTTTCCTTCATTTCCCTTGTAGTTTAGTTTGATTGGGTGTAATTCTGATATGAAGCCACACAACTTTCTTGTGTAGTTGTTGTGGTGGGGATTGTTGTGGCAGAAACAATGCACGTAATTAGTCTGCTGATGCAATTAAAAGAGGTTTATTCAAATTGTGTGAAATAACATCCCTTGATGGAATCTTTCTGCCTCAGGCTTGCTTTCCTAAGGCTGCTGTGGCATTTGTGGTGTGTGAGTGCAGACTTGCACTGACAGTTGCAGAGGTCTTGAAGTTCTGTTTACATGTCTTTTGGCCTTTTGGTGCCTGCAGAACTAAAACTATGGCAAAACTTTTTTTTCCTTTTTATTTTTTTAAATCTGTAAAGGAGGAATAAGGATGAAGAGGCAGTATTTAACGTGATATCAAGTGTTTGCACTCATGTGTTTTCTTTCCTTGGTTTGCCATATGGAAAGTATATGATATTTTATAGGTGCTTTTGCAGCTTAACTTATGTTTGTGTGTGCTTGATAGCTGTAGTCTGAAAAGTTAAATGTTATTTAGTGACTTTTTTTTAGTGTCACTTAAAAATTATTTATCTATGCAGGTTATTTGATGTATTTGTTGTTTTTTGACTTAAAGGGTTCAGTTTCCTGTGTTTTTCAAAAGTCAGTCCATGCTAACACATTATTTTGTGGTAAGTAAATGTTTGGACTGCAAGTTAACTTAAAAAAAATTGAAAATAACTCTGTAGACCCTCTCAAAGGAAACAGAATTATGTGATTCTAGTAGCTAATCCACACTAGAGAGAGGAGCTAGGGCTGCTGTGTTTTATGTGCCGTTCCAAGTTCTCAGGAGTTTCCAGGCAACTGAATTACGAAATCAAGACAAAGTAAGCCCGTGCTGATCAGATGACAGCTGTACTGTGTCATAAATCTTCTGAAGATAAGATGATCAGAGTTGGCTGAGAGGAAGAAAAAGCTGACCCTGAGTTGAAAATTTTTCTCCTGGTTGTAGTTGCATTATTTTGCTGTAATCGTGGTGTTCTTACAGAATATTCAGTGTGAGAGGACTCAAAAGTTAAGAGTTATAGATGGATGCTGGATGTTTTCAGTAGAGGATTATTGTTAATTTAGTTTACTTTTAAAATTGCATTTGTTTTGCCTCACAAAGCATGATACTTCCTGAACTGTTCTAATTCATTCGTTTTAAATAACAGAAAATTCACTTGGCAAATGTGCTTCAGGCTAAAAGAAAAAATACTGTGCTTGTCACACAAAGATATGATAATCTGTAACTCAGGAACTTATCCTGGGGATTTTTCTCCTTTCTCAAAGCCATCCAATGCTTGTTTATAAAAATGAATAAGCTTTATTTATCGTAAGTAGGTGGCAGCACAGAACTGTAGGGTCTTTCCCAAACACAGAACAGGAAGTATGAAGGACTGGAGGGAAAGCATAAGGAAACAAACTCACAGTCAGGATGGTAGCCAGTAGTTTCAGGGCAAGGAAGTCTTGTTGGCTGATGGTATTTTTGCAGGCTTTGTGACAAAGAAAGCTTTTTAGGAAGGACCTGAAGGAGAATGAGGTGGCTCTAACCTTTCACAAAGGTTTCCTTCTGTTTCTAAAGGGCAGCGAAAGGGAGGAGTAAATAAAGTAGGGGTTTTTTTCCTTTCCTTTACTTATTAGGTCACAGTGAGGATACTGTGGGAACAGATGTGCTAAGTGTGACCAGGAGTGGGAACTCAATTGAAAAAAGCCTTGAGCAGCAAAACTTTACATGATAGAAAAGAGAAATGTAATGCTGTGACTCCATGGGAGTAGTTTGCTGTTCTGACCTCTGCAGAGAGCCATTTATCTGTCCAGGCTTTGCTCCCAGACTTCTCCCTTAGCCATCCCTTGTCCTAGCAAGCATTTAGTACTCTGCATCTACTGAAGTCACTTTTAAAACAAACAAAACCCCAAAACTAAACACCAGAGAACCACCTGAGGGTGCTTTTGTTTTCTATGATTTTTACTTGTATTGATGAGTTAAAATGTGTTGTTGCTGTTAAAATAGCACAGATGGCTTCATGCTCTGGACCTGTTGCAAAGTAAGAGTGTGGCTGGGAGGAAGGCAGAGCTTTTGTTACTCCATCTTTCAAGGATCTGTGTTGTGTAGCAGTTTTGGATTTTGAGTAATCTTACTTCACTGGAGGTTGAGGTGATTGTCCTCTACTCATCTGTCACCCCTCTCCCCTCTCTTCTTCTTTGTGTTGGACATAGTGGTTGTTTGGTCACAGTGTAAAGGGGAGTAACATGAAGAAAAGTACTAAAATGAGAAAGGAGGGGTTTATTTTTCCAGTGTGTGAGTTCACAAGGGTTTCAGAGGAGCAATACTGCCGCTGCTTATAACGTGTGGTTTCTCAGGGTTAGCTGTCAAGCCATTGTGATAATGATATACTCTTCTATGATAGAGAATCAGGTGATGTTGTCTAGGGCCTATCATCAAATTGAGCCCTAAATGGAAACTGTCAAGAGGGAAGGATGTTCAGAAAGTAATCGTAAGATTCTTTCTGTCTTGCATTTGTTTTCGTATTTCTACTGGTCTGGCATACTTAGCAGAAGAGAAATGGCACTGAGATGTGAAATTAGAATAACTAATAGCCTGAGGATTACTCTAAATTGTAAGGAAGATGGAAGATATTACCAAAAGATCAAAGCTAAAAATGCTTATCAGTTTGCAAATGTGTATGGGAGTCATTAAGATTCGTATCTAGTGCCTGGGAAGGAAAGAAACCCGAAGAAGTGACTATCAAGAGCTCTGTAAACTCTTGTATACTTTGATATTTGCAGGGAGATGCCCTGTAGAAAGACTGATTCCTCAGGCTGCACAGAAAATATTATTCAGTGAATTTGGATTAAGATATGAAGGAGGTATGTCTCAGAGTGTGTTTGAAGCATTTCTTTGCTTCCACACCTCTAATTGGGTGGTGTGAAAAGAACCAGGCTCTGCTATTCATAACATGCATATTGAAAAAAACTTAGGAAATTCAAGCTGTTAAGCCAATTAAAAGAGCACATAATCTATCTGTAGCCTTGTCACCTTTCTCTATTAGCTGGCTCTACTTTCTATTATTAAAAGTTGCGTGAAAAAACATCATAAGATTTCACTGAACTGAGATGGAAGTTAAAATGGAATTTTCAAATATCAGCTTCTTACTCATCCAAATATAAGGAGAAAGAAGATGACACAAAGATGACATTAACTTTATGAATGACATCACCAGAACCAGAGATGGAGACTGGAGCCCCCTGCACCTTTCATTAGTGTCCCAAGTGCTAGGCTGCAAGAGACCTTGTCTTCCAAAAGAAAAGCTGTAGGTGGTTCTTAAACTGGGGTGTTATTAAGTGTGTGTGTGTGTACATGTATCAGCGGTATAATTTGTAACTGAATGAAAGAAATATTAACTAATCTAACTATGTATTGTGTTGAGTCCAGACAGTAGTGGTTTGGAAAAAATAGCTGTTTATGCCTGGGCTCCACTTGTTCAGCTTGTTTTCAAGAGTGACTGATTTTACTTTTTAAGGGGTTTGAGTGAGAGATGGGTACTATTTCTCCACTTCTTGGTGCCTTGTGTGTATAGAAGTTCTGACAATGTCAGTAAGAGATGTGAGGTGTGGTTTGATGAGTAAATTACACAAAACTTGAAATAACTTTTGTTTTTAACTGTGATTAATTTTTAAAAAAATAGCATCTTTCCAGTGCTTCCAGTTTTTTCTTTCTTACTCTAAACATCCCATTAAATGGTAACTGTCGAAGTTTTTAATGCTCAAAATTCCCTCATTCCTTCCATGGATTACAGTGATGAATGCAAACCATTGCAAACCAGGCTCTCCCCCTTTCTTTCCACTCTCCTACACACATCTCTGACAATGTTTTCAAACCCTGTCCTCGGGTTTTATCTGCCTCTGTTTCTGCTCTTTAATCCAGCCTGCCTCTGTCTCACATAAAGGTAATTTGTCCCTTACTTCTGTGTTATCTGATCTTCCACAGGCTTATGTGCTTTTATTTTTTTAAAGAGAGGCAGATATTACCAGGATCAGGAAGAAATAAGCAAATTTCTACAGAGGGGCCAACACAATTTTCTAGCATCTACCAAAAAGAGCTGTTGTAAAGGGCAGTTGTCTGAGTATAGCTGTCTAACCTCATACTCAGTTTTTGTTCATCACATTTACATTTATTTCTAAAACAACTTTTGGACCCTTTGGCTTCCCTTCCAGGCTTTAATGGGTAGTCTGTTCCTGTTTTGTGTTTAGAAAATTTGAGGGTGACTTCTATTAGCTACCTCTCTGATGGTTCCTGTGGTTGCTTCATGCTGTTACATGCTATGAAACATGTAATACTTTGATATGTTGATGAAAAACACTCAGTTTAATATAACTGATATGATTTTCCAATATGGCTACTAGAGTATGTGGGAAAATATAATGAAATTGCAGTTCAAAATATTTATTTAGATATATTTTAGAAGTTGTCCAGTGTTGGTATTTATTAGTTTGCAAACTTTTTGACTGATAAATGTTTTGACTGATAAATGTATATATGTGTGTTTATTTAGGCTTTGCTCACTGCAGTAACATCTCAACACATAGAAATCCACGAAGGAACAGTACTACAGGCTGTAAGAACATGTTACAATATCTACCTAGCAAGCAAAAATCTTATCAATCAAACTACAGCCAAGGCCACTCTAACACAAATGCTGAATGTCATTTTTGCACGTATGGAAAATCAAGCAGTGAGTATCTCAGTATCTTTATTTAGAAACTACCTCTTGAAAGCAAACCAGCTTGAGACATTTGTTTCATCGTTATTAGGCATTTTGGCTTTTCTAACTTGTGTACTTTGGGGAAAAAAAGATGCTGGTATCTGATATTTTTCTTCTTGTGTTTTGCCCTCTGAAATAGGTGGAAAATATGAAGTTTGGGGGTGGGGGTGGTGTACAGAAGTCACAGAAATTCTTCCCTTTCTGGGGATTCCAGAACAAGGGACCACAAAAAAAAAAAGTTTGCCTTGATGTTTTTCCAAACACACCTTGTTTATTGTCACATCTCCTCCCTGTGCTTCTGATAGGGCAGGCAGACAACTCTTGGTTCTATGGTTTATGTAGTGTGGTCATGCCTTCTCTGATAGTGAAGATATGAGCTACATGCATAGCTGGGAAGCAGCCCTCTTGCAGTGGATTATCCCATGATGCTGAAGTTATTTATAATTAAACAAAGATGCATTTTCTTAAACTGTTACTGTGTAAGCAGAGACAATAGAGATGTCATCTTTATAAAATAATGCATATATCTTATTGTTTTATTTTGATAGTGAACTTCTTCTGTATTTGCAATGCTTTTGTAGCTTCAGGAAGCCAAACAGATGGAAAAGGAAAGACACAGACAGCAACACCATCTCCAGCAGTCTCCAGTAAGCCATCATGAGCCTGAATCACCTCAATTGAGACATATTCCAGCACAGGCTGATCAGCTGTCCAAAGACCATGAGAGAGAGCTTGATCACAGCACAAACGATGTGGACAAGAACCTTCAAGAAGATATTGAGGCAGAAAATGGATCTGACATTTCTAGTGCTGAAAATGAACAGACAGAAGCTGACCAAGCCACAGCAGCAGAAAGTAATCAGTGTGTATTTCTGTTTCATGGAGGGAGGGAAAAGGTCTGTAAAAGAAAGGCTTGAGGATTGTCTTTTTTGTCTATCCCAAATCTGGAGTAAGGCATAAGTTTTCAAGTAGTTGAGTAATGCAAAATAACCATTTGTCCTTGTTACCACTGTCCCTCAAGAGCACACTTAAGTCCCACGCTCTGTAGAAGTCTGTATCTAAAATTCCTTTTTGCTTCTGTGTAATATTGTTAAGGTTTTTGAGAACAACATCTCAAAACCCTCAAGTTTTCCATGTTTTAATGTATATGAAGATGCAAAATTGATGTGTTTTGTTGGCACGCCTGTAGATTTATTGCCATTTACAATGGCAATTAATTAACATTGCAGGTTAACCGCTGGAATTCTTGCATCCTGCAAATACCTATTTTTGAAGCATCCAAACATTTATTCTGAAAAATTAAGTGCAAGCAAAGTACCTTCTTAATTTCAGAGTTTCTCATTAATCCTTGTTTGTGTTTGTTTTTCTTTATAAAGATCTTTCTAAAGCTGATGGAGGAACTTACGATGGTGAAAGCAATGAATGTGAAGAGAAGGCACAAGAAATTGTAGAAAGTATTGTGCAGGAAATGGTGAACATAGTAGTTGGAGGTATTATGTTAATATCTGTCTAGTCAATAGTGACTGTGGTCTGGTTCTTGACCTTAAGAATTATTTTACCACTTTCAAATATTTAACTAAAATTTGTCATCATTTAATTATGACTTGCATGCTGAAGAAGACAGTTGTGCTGTCAGACTTTATTAGTGCATTATTTAACAGTAAAATGGACAGGATTTCATACATTGATTTACACTTTATATTGGAGAATTAATGTTCTTTTAAAATACAAATTCTTGGTGGCTTTTTGGGTTTCTTTTTAATTTTTTATTTTATTTCTGTATGAACACTCTTCAGAAATGGGTCCCTCTCTCCAGTAGCAGTGTCTCACTGTACTTTTAAGTTCGTTGTAAATTGTTTATCAGACTAATGGGTGGTGTTCCATACCAATACTTCTTGGAAACTTGGTAGAGGGGTGACCCTGACAAGTTAAGTTATAATTAAATTTCTTACTGTAATTTTCATTATTGGGTATTAAGAATATTGCAATTTTTTATAGTTCCGTAGTGCCATTTAAATTCTGTCTTAAGCTCCTCCTTATGATTTTTTTAGTATTTAACTGTTGGTTTTAAAAGCGCTTTCTAATTTTTAATCTTATATAACGTTCATTAATTATTTTTGCATCTTTTCTGATAGATGTGGAAGGGACTGCAGGTGGTGATGGCACAACTGTATCATTAGAGGATGGCAGTGACAGTGAAAACATTCAGGCAAATGGAATTCCAGGGACTCCAATTTCTGTTGCTTATACACCATCTTTACCCGATGACAGATTATCTGTCTCTTCCAATGATACTCAGGTACAGGCAGATATAATTGGGAAATACAGAAAAAAAGTATTTTGTTTTAAATGTTGCCCAATGCTTGTGCAGAGTGATTAGTATAATTCTATAAAATAGGTTACTGAGATAAATTTCAAGAATTAAGTAATGTTACTCTATTCAATGCACCACTTAAATGAAATTTTTCTGAATAAATTTTGCATGTGATGTCTTTTTTATCCCAGCATGTTTTTAGTTGTCCCATGGACTGTTCAAGAGAACTCAGTTTCCTGTTTCGTGAAGTGCTTCTGAGAAACTGTAAAACTAGTATTCAATATACATAGTGAAACATATAGCCAGTTGTACATATGCCAGTGTAATTCTAGTGTGCTCTTTTCAAACAAGAAATTGAAATTTCAAGCTGATGGCATGGTCTTGATGCAGTGATTTTAGATCAAGAGTTTCATGTCTGAGAGGATTTGATTTTCATTAACAAAACAGATGTGAAAATATACTCCCTCTCTTGTATGAGGTATGTGTACACTTGTCAGCTGACCAAGAATATTTGCTGTCAGAGTGTACTGAGTAATTAGGTTTGAGAGTAATAATTTTAAGTTCAAAAAGTTACAGTCATGTAGCCATACAAATAGAAGACTTAACATTAAACATTTTGCTTATGTATGGAGCAATAATACAGAATTGCAAGAAATTAGTAATAGGGGTGTTTATTGTACCATAGACATTTTATCAAATGTATCTGGCAGGAGATAGGTAACTATTCATGCTCTATTAAAATATCTGGTGTTTGGGTCTTTTTAAAGTAGTTATCTACTCAAAGAGCCTGGCAGCAATTCCCTGCAAATTACCCTACTTAAACTTGACCTACCTAATTTCATGACAGTCTTTAATTAATTCTGACTTCATACTGAGTAGGACATTTTTAGTAGTGACTTTTATTTCAGTTGGACTGCAGAATGTTTTTTTTTAATCTTGAGACCATAAAGATAAAGTGAGTTGGTTATATTTGTATAATATATTAACTTTTTATTGCTCGGAGATGGGGATTTCCCTACACGCCCTGCTAATGCAAAATGGAATACTGAAATATGTTAACTTCCTTAGGAATCTGGAAATTCTTCAGGACCTACCCCTGGTGCTAAGTTTTCCCACATTTTACAAAAGGATGCCTTCCTTGTATTCAGGTCACTGTGTAAACTCTCCATGAAGCCCCTGTCAGATGGACCACCAGATCCAAAGTAAGTAGAATTTAAAAGTTTTCCTAATGAATCTAACAATAAAAATAAATTATATAAATATTTTTGTGAGTACTGTTAACAAGAAACTAATGGTATGGTGAAAAGAATGTAGAAACTTTGGAAAGGTACTTTTATGTTTTAATGCATCTTTTGTATACCTGTTCTGAAGTTTCTTAACACCTATCCTTTTATAAGTAGAACATGTTCTTCCTAGTTGCTGTTTATAATGCATTTGAAATGAGTTTGTATAGAAGATTATCAGGTATTTCTGGTCTTGCTCACACTACTCTGCTTTGGGTACCTTTTAGGTTTGTAACCATTGCTGGTTGTGCCCCATAATTTCTTTTATCTCCTGCATAGTGCTCTCCATCCAAAATACAGCTCTGTGCTGGCCACTGGGAAGAAAATTAACTCTGCACCAGCTGAAACCAGCACATTTGTGTATCCAGTACACATCCTCAGCTCTACTTAATATAAACTTGTATCACCTGGAGCTGATAACTGGCTATGATAAATTCATGATGCTTCTGTCAGCCTACTTAATTAAAACACAAATGTTTGATAACAAAGATTTTATTTTGCTGTTTCTTCTGACTGAAGATACCATGTCTTCAGTTTCATTTATAGAACTGTTGGTTATAAAGCAAATACAGAGTCTCCTCTATAAATGGGTGCCAGTATTAAATTTTGAGTGTCAGCAGAAAGGCTTGCCTTCTGATCTTTGATTTATATGCATATAATTTATATACATTTGATTTGCACATTAGGAACAATGCTGATAATTTTCAAGAGGAGTGCTTTTTTGTTCTAAGGAGTGTTAAGAGATTAAATTGGAGCTGTAATATGATTTCAAATGACAGTGAAAGGCCTGGTATTCTTCAAAATAAAATCAGCTGTACTGTTCCGAGTCTAGCTTTTAAAGCAGGTAACTTTAAGACAGTTTAGTTACATCAGTGATGTGGATTTAATAAGTTGAAAAGATATGACGTAGTCAAAAGGATTTAAAGATTTAATCTTGGAACCTTTTTAAATTATCTGGCAATGCACTTTGAAAAGTCAGGACATTAGAGAATGAAGACTGAGGCATGAGGGTTTTTCCTCACTATTGCTGAGAATTGTCTTCCAGGAAATGCCTTGAAAATCCTGTGGTTTTAGTCAGTACTCTGAGACTAAAGCAGCCCATTTATTAAAGGTTTTAGTGGATTAGCTCCCTTGCAAGAACAGTAATAGCTATTGAGTCACTTGGAGAATCTCATCTGAATCCATGGAGTCCTTGACATTCATATTAGAACTGGTGAAGCTCTTCATACAAAAACAAATTGGAGAAAAAGGCATTTAGGGCAACCAAAATTCACTGCAAATACATTTGAAGATATCCCATATTTGGAGAAGTACCTAGAATTTATCAGTGGTTCTGAGGCACTGATAGCTTTTTGAACTACTACAAACATGCTGTAAATGGAAGAGGAGGTGTAGGATATCTGTGGCATTTCAAGAGTCTTATCTGCCTCTTTAAAAATCTTACTTTCAATGAAATTTGTTATGAAGTCTGTAATGAAACTATTTTTAGATTTTAGGTAACTGAACTTAAAGCTTTAGCTTAAAATCACAAGTCTGGAACTTAAGATCAGCATTTTGCTTTCTGGGAACCTGGTTAATGTCTTTGTTTCCTTTTGTTTTGGAATAAAATAAGATAGGGGTGAAATACAGCTCAAAAGTTGGCTTGCTGGTTTTTGTTTTTATCTTAAACCTGTTTTAAGTTAAAGTGGGCTTTACACATTCAAAATTTTTAAGGTCAGCGAGTCCAGGATTTCAAGTGGGAGATGGCACTTGCTGGAAGTAGGCAATATTTAATATTTTATTTATGACTGAAATTCTCCTCATATTTAAATTCTTATATTCCATAGCAAAGTATAATCTGGTCATGTGCTGTCTGCACACCTGGTACCATGTGATACAAAACCAAGCCTTTTGCATCAAAAGAGATTGGTATGTGAGCTTCCATGCAGTGCCAGCATCAAGCATTTTCTTGAAGAACTGTTACAGAGAGCAGTTTTGGGTTGATTTTGACCTGTAGCTCATTAGGAGAAATATGAGAGACAAGTTCTCACTCAATTTGACTGTCTGGCTGTTTTCTTCTCAAAAGCATCTTCAGAAGAAGCCTGCTGTTGGAATTAAATTTTGAGTTTGAAATATTTGCAGATTGATTTCCCTATTCCACTTTGTTTGGCAGAAATAATTGAGTTTATTTGCAACATACTTAATATTAATTAGCATTTTTTGTTTTAGCTTGACTGGAATTACTTTTTTTTTTTATTAAGCTTTTATATTTGCAATATATAGCAAATATCCAGCTACTCTGTGTGTCACAGATTGACTTGAAGCACTCCTTACTGTGTCTGGGCTGTACTGGATGAAAAATTTCCTGTCATTGTCCCCTATGTTTCATAACTGTCCTCTATCAGGGGTAGCTGTTTAATGAAAGCTGGGGACTGTCCTGTTGGGAAAGCCAGTTTTGTCTATATCTACTCTTCAGAAAAGATACAGCCTTTTTTGAAATGATCAGGAGTGGGAAGGAGCATCAGGAGTCTTAGGAGAGAATGGTTTCACCTGGAATGTTACTTATTCCATTGGATTTTAATAGGTGCAGATTTCCTTTATGCTTTTTGTTGTGTGGTTTCAGGGGTTTTTGGCTGTTTTGTTGTGTTTGTTGTTTTGGGGTTTGTAGAGCAGAAATAGTTAGCCCTGTTTCTGACCTGAATTCTAGTTCCCACGAGTCTGTAAGAACGTTACTGTGGAGCACTTGACAACACTGCCCTTGCCTGACTTGGTGATTGCCATGCTTCAAACAGGCACATTCTGTGTCTTACCTGCTCTCAGAGTGGGATGGGCCCAGCGACTGATAAGTGCTGTATTTGAGCAAAGAGATTTCAGTGTTGGCAGGAAGTATTGTGTTTATAGTCCTTCAACTCTCTTTCCATGCTGGTGGAAATAAAGGAGGAGAAGGAATTTCTGCCCTTTACTACAGGGTTTGATAGATGGGCTGGATTTTAGATGGGACCTTCCAAAGCTATGTTTACAGGAAAGAATGGTCCTTCATCAAGGGCAGCATTGCCTCTTGTTCCTGCTGTTCTGTGGTGCAGAAGAGAGAGTGGTTCAGTAGTAATTTCTCCTTTTCTGGAAAAGGTCTTGGCTGCATTCTTAGTTGAAAAATGAACAATTTAACAAAAAAAAGACCCAACATCTTTTTATGACCCTTTCTGCAACTGGTTGTGTCAAATTTGAGTTTCTCTCATTACCATTCCACTTGCAAAATCATTGTGGTTTGTACTGACTTTTCAAGAGAATGTTTTTTTATTTTTTAGGTCTTACACTGGGCTGATGTGCTGTGTTGTTTTGTTCTAGATCTCATGAACTGCGGTCAAAGATTCTTTCATTGCAGTTGCTTCTGTCCATTCTGCAAAATGCAGGACCAGTCTTCAGGACAAATGAGATGTTCATTAATGCTATAAAGCAGTACCTCTGTGTTGCACTGTCAAAAAATGGAGTCTCATCAGTTCCAGAAGTTTTTGAACTTTCACTTTCCATATTTCTTACCCTCCTGTCAAACTTTAAGACCCATCTAAAGATGCAAATTGAGGTATGTTACATTAATTTATAATTAAATGTGTGGGAGGTGTTAAGTGAACATATGTTTATATTTGTGTGGCTTGGTGTTGCTTAAATAAATTTGTTTTCCTTTGTGACTCACAGCTTTTGTGTAAGACTTGCCAGATTTTCCTTATTTTGAAGTTTTGTGTTGGGTGTGGCATGGTACTATTGCAGAGTGTTGCTGAAACTCAGAATTGAGTAGGTTTGTGGCTAAGTTCAGCCAATGTTCAATATTGTGATTCAGAAAGCTTAGCCCAGCTCTGAATATTATAAATTAGGAAAATGAAAACACTGAGGAAAAGACTGTGTAATATGGTTTTGCAAAAGATCTTTAGAATAAAAACTAAGGTCATGAAGAGCATTGTGGATTTTCTTTGAGATCCCTTGAACAGATTTCTTTCTCTGGGGAAGTCCCAGTTATTCTATTATTGCAGCCACTTCCCTTTGCTTATCAGGGCCTCTGTCAATACATGTCCTGAATAAGATCTCATTTCCTCTAAAGGTGTGCACACAATTTAACTTTGGACTATAAATGGAGAGAAGTCCATATTTGCAATAAATTCTCTGAGTCCTGACAGGTGTTGTGAATCTTCAGTGGGTCTGTTCTAAGTCATAGGGCAAAGGAAGATGTATCCCCATACAGGCCATTCACTTAAGAGTTGGACTCAATGATTCTTGCAGATCCCATCCAGCTCAGAATATTCTATAATTCTACATGTGGAGGGTTTGTTCTTGAGATCAGCTCTTTGTGCATAAGGTACAAGCAGCTTCTCAGAACAACTCTGTTCAACCACACGGGTATCCTCTTGTGGTGTCACATGTGTTAAAAAGATCTTAATTCTGTGGTGAATAAAATAGTTTTGTGTGCAATGTGTCCCTGCTGTTTATTTTAGTAATTTTTTGTTCAGGGATTCAGGTGGGAATACTGACACTGACAGATTGCCCCATCCACGTGGAGCTTAAGTACGTGAAGAGATGCTTAGAAATGTTGATAAATCTTGCTGTTACAGGGACCTTGAATTCAGGGAATTCACTTCATCTATGAATGTCATTGGATAAGTTGATGTGTTATGGCAGCTTTGGAGGAAGGACCTCATTTTGACAGTCGCATGTCAGAAAATTATTGTGTTGTGATCACTTACCAGGTTATTTTGATACTTCTGTGGGGGAAAACCAGTAAGATTTACAGTATATGGTTGAGCATAGATTGGATAGAAATGATAGAATGTGCTTTGAAAATATGATGCATTTTGAAAAGCTTCAAGGCCAACTGTGTGCTCAGCAAGACTGTAGTGTGTGTGCAGGGTTTGGCACATCAGACAGACTGGGTGGAGCTGTTCTCAGTCCCACAGCCTCCCTCCCAGAAAGTGTTGGACTTACTGTGTTCAGAGAGCTTACAAGTCAGCATGTAGGTGGTGAACACATTGCAGTCAGCTTTCCTGACAGAAATTTCATAGGTTTCATCACTGCCAGCCTTTCACAAATCCCTAATAGAAAATGAAGACATACGAGGCAAACTGGTTGTAGGATGCCCTGCACTGATGTAGCAGGTTCTAGAGTATGCTAAAGACCATCACCACATATCAGGGCTACATTTCCTCCTTGTGAATAGCAAACCCAAAAACTTGATGCTGCTGAAGCACCCATTTATTACAAAGTACAGGGTACAGCAGTTTCTAGAAACTTCTTTCATTTTCCTGATTGTGAGCTAAGAATCCTTCTTTCAGCTACTGATCCTAAAGGTTATTCTGAAGATGTGGGTAGAAATGTAGATAACTTCACATGCAGTTTGTGTCTTGAAGCTGTAAGGAGAGCCATATGCTCTGATTTACAATATGCAAAATCTATATATTTTGGGATCGAGGCTGCATTTTTCATCTGTGTAAGAATTTTCTGGCATGTTTGAAAAGAATAATTTCAGATTCTGTTGAAAGTGACCCTCCTGTTGACTTAAATATTTAGCTAACACTGCCCTCTGACAGTAAAATAGTTTGATTTGTACCTTAATTGTATTGTGGCAGTAATTCTGAAGGGGTTAATGAATATATTTGCAGCAAGTCAAATCCTAGATATCAGAGGAGTTGGGGTCTCATTTAGCTGTGCTTACCATTACCACCCTTTCCTAACTGTGAATACCTTAAAATTCATACTTGAGTTGATCAAACATAATAAATAGTTATTTTCTGGTTTACTTTTCCAGTATGTTAAGAACAAAGTCTCAGCTCTGTGATGTGAATTGCCATAAGTTATATACTGATAAGCAGCATTTTTAAGTAGCTGAAATGTAAACCGTAACTATGGTTGTGAGAAGTTCTTCATTCCAGGATATGCTTTTCCAAAGGTGACACCAGAGGCAAGAAGGTGGCTTGGTCTCAGAGGTGTAGAGATCTGAAGTGCCTTGATAGTATGCAGTGCTTCCAGCTCTTTTCTCTTCTAGCTTAGATTTGGGTTTAGTTTTTGTCCTTGAAACCTTTTTCTCTGCTTCATCAGTGACTTCTTTTTTAAATTTTCTACCAGAAAAGAAATACTTTTGCTAGTTCCAGAGAAATATAAAATCAGTGTCTTTCAATAAAAAGTCAGAAAACACCAAATGTGTAACTGAGGATTACTCACAGCATGACATGTATTAAATTTTTGTCTTTCTCTGATTACATAAAATTGGGGCTAAAATCAGTCTAGTACGTTTAAGTATGTTTAAGCACTTGCCAGTCTTGCAATTGTTATGTGTTGAACTCCTTAGGTTTCATAGGGATGCTTTCCTTATTAAGACAGTTAGCTGACATTGTGTTGTGTTCCTCTATTTCTCTAAAGAGATCAATAAAATGTAACTATTTTTATCACGTTTTGCTTGAAGAAATAGCTTACCACCAAAGTTGCCTAAAAATCACTTGCTGTTTTTCCCCAGATGTATGACTTAAAGTGGAAACAGCCTTATGTTTTTCTCTACCTGGCTAATAGCATAAAAATCTCTGTAAAAAATCTGTACTATGAAGGAACAGTCAATATTAAAATGAGGGTAGTTATATATTTGGATATTTGTGTGATGCTATTGGAGAAGTTGAATGGCTTGAGACCCTTAGCGGTTGTCTAGTAAAACTGTGTGTTGTGGATTTGGATCCACAGGTGGCTGTGAAGAGCTCTCAGAAGTACAGAACAGTGATGAATGCCCTGTTCACTTCTGAGTTCAGGTGCTGTTACAGCAGTTGCTGCTGCCCACGGAAGAAGCAAGAAGAAGCTTTAGTTCAGCTGCTAAGCAAGCTTGGCTGAATTAGTCAGCCTATGGTGCTGATGAGTCTGGTCAGGAACTAATTGATAGGAGATAAAATAGTTTCTGTTCCAAACAACAGCACCTGTACTAAAATAGTTTCAGGGCAAACTTACCTGTATTCTAGTGAAGAGTAGCTTTCCTGATAATGGAGGTACTGCATGCTGTGTCTGACCACTCCCCTTCTTCCAGTAATAATCTAATATTGTAGAGTGACTCTTTCATGTCAAGATGTTTCCCTTCTAATGAAGGTCCAATACTTCAAATCTGCATAAGTAGCTGTTTGTCATGTTTATGTCATAATGTCATCATCTTGCAGATAAAGTATTTTTGACATGAGGTAATAATACCTCTTCTTTCAAAATCCCAAAGAAACTCTTAACAGCAGTTTAAGCTTCTTCTTAGGCTGAATTGTCCTTCAGGATCTGACATTATTCCAAAATCTTCTGCTTTTGAATGCTTAGAAAATAAACCAGGGCAGCACTGCAGAAGCACATAAGTAAATAATTCAAATTCCTAATTTGCATGTATCAATCATAAGCTGTATTTCTTCCTTTCCTCCTTTTTTTTGCCTTTTCATTATTTTCTGTACTTCTAAAGTGCTGCTTTCAGAATTGACCATCAAAGTTAGTAACTGTTTATTAATAGATTTTTTTCCTTCCTCTTCCTGGAATATTTTTTAGGTTTTCTTCAAAGAAATTTTCCTGTATATCTTGGAAACTTCTACTAGCTCATTTGATCATAAGTGGATGGTTATACAAACACTGACAAGGATATGTGCAGGTATGAATGACTGTTTTCTAGAGTTTGTTTTTTATCTCAAAGAATAAAACTATATTTGCCTTTCATTAAATTACCTGGTTTTTGTTCCAAGTTTGACAATGTTACTTTATTTATAGATGCTCAGAGTGTGGTGGACATCTACGTGAACTACGATTGTGACTTAAATGCAGCAAATATATTTGAAAGGCTGGTTAATGACTTATCAAAGATTGCTCAAGGAAGAGGTAGCCAAGAACTTGGCATGTCCAATGTTCAGGTAAAAATTGCACCAAACTTTATGAAGTTTCGCATTTCTTGGCATGATAGGTTGAGACTAAACTCTCCAGTCCACTAACAAATTGTTCATGAAATCTTTTCCAGGAATTAAGTTTGAGGAAAAAAGGACTGGAATGCTTAGTATCGATCTTGAAATGCATGGTGGAGTGGAGTAAGGATCAATATGTAAATCCCAATTCCCAGACAACCCTTGGTAAGACATATGGTGTGTTTCTTCTGCCTTTAGTAATGAGGTGCTACAGGACTTCATTGTGTTTGTCCAGTATTCTGATGCTGTTAATGTCCATGTTGTTGTTCTAGTATTTCTAGAGTCCCATATTGTTGTTATTAGAATTCTAAAGTCCATACCTCTCGGGTGCACTCTCATGGCTGCAGATCTTCACAGACTCCTTTTGCTGCATGCTGTTCTCTCTCAGGTCAGGGCTCCTCCAAGGCTCTCCCTGACTGGCTTACCTGCCCCCTTTTATCCCGGTCATCTTCATCAGTTACAGCTGCAGCCCAATTAAGGACATCACAGCTGCAGCCCATCAAGGGCAACCGGGACCTCTGGGGCAAAGCCTCTATACACATATTCAAATACATTTCCTCTACTATATTTCCCCCTTTGCTTTTACTTAAGTTAACAGTTATACAGATGTTAAATTACAATACATACATTTCTCATGACTCACAGGTCATGCACAACACCCACATTCTCCCATGACTCACAGGTCATGTATAACCCACATAGCTCCTTGCTCAAAGGCCATACTCTTTCACAGCTCCCTGACCCAAAGGCTATGTTCCGTCGCAGCTCTTGGCTGCCACAGCTCTCAGCTGTCTTATCTTCTGCTAGCAACCACCGCAGCTCTTGGCTGTTCTGTCACAGCTCTTGGCCGCCTTATGTTGTCGTAGCTCTTGGTCACCACAGCTCTCGGCTGTCTTATGCTCTGCTAACTATCACATCAGGGTCACCACTTGTTGTTCTTCTATTATTTCTAGAGTCCCATATTGTTGTTATTAGATTTCTAAAGTCCATACCTCTCTGATGTATTCTCATGGCTGCAGACCTTCACAGACTCCTTCTGCTGCATGCTGTTCTCTCTCAGGTTAGGGCTCCTCCAAGGCTCTCCCTGACTGGCTTACCCGCCCCCTTTTATCCCGGTCATCTTCATCAGTTACAGCTGCAGCCCAATTAAGGACATCACAGCTGCAGCCCATCGAGGGCAACTGGGACCTCTGGGGCAAAGCCTTTATACACATATTCAAATACATTTCCTCTACTATATGTCCAGACTATTTTTCCTTTGGTAGAAATATTGATAAGTTTGGTGTCATTTAAACAAGTTGTCTTTTCCTAATTGTATGAATTCCAAGAATGCTACTGGACTGAAAAATGTCTAAATCCTGTTATTTTCTGTATTTCTGATTTTAAAAGTGTCTCAGAACTTTCTTTGAAGCTCCCTTGATTTTTATATAATTTCATATTGATTAAATAACTGCTAAAGCAAGCTGAATGGAGAGCATTTTTTTTACTTATTTACGGTTATTTTAAAAATTACTTGTTTACTGAATACTTACGGACACGTTTTATAGCTGTAGAAGTTTGAATGTTGTAAGCCATGAAGTAACTAAATAATTACTTGTTTTAATCTTGTTTTCATCCAACCTAAGGTTATGCCAGAATTTTCAGATTAAGCATTTAAAGTTGGTAGGTGATGTAGTAAACTGTCTAGGAGTGGTTAGCATGGCTGTCTTTGTGAACTGAGAGCACCAACTCCTTGGCATGCCTAAATTCTTTCAGACACTGTGTTTAAAAAACTTAGAATAGTCGCTCCAGGTTAAAAGTGACACTGGATTTGAAAATAAAATAAAAAAGCTGTAGTTGGTTTTCTGAGGTGCTGGGGTTTTTTTCCCCAAGTGCCTGAAATTATAGTTTTAATTTAAGATTTAAATTTCAGTATGTGATGAACTGATAGAATTCTCCTTGATACGTTGTAGTGATTTTTGTTTCTTTTCAGTGTATGTGTTTTGGATATATGTAACCCTTTCCACTTTATAGGCCAAGAAAAACCCACAGAACAGGACAGCAGTGAAACCAAACACCCTGAGACAATTAACAGATATGGAAGCTTAAATTCTTTGGATTCTACTGCTTCATCAGGAATTGGCAGTTACAGCACACAGATGTCTGGCACTGACAACCCAGAGCAGTTTGAAGTCCTAAAGCAGCAAAAGGAAATAATAGAACAAGGAATTGACTTGTGAGTGCCCTTTTATCACCCATGGGAGGGTGGATTCTTTTGGAGCTATGAAGATTCCTGGGTTTTTCTTCCTTCTCCTCATAGATACTCATCTTGTGTTAGGAAAAAAACTCTGGATGTAACAGCACTTCCTCTGGTGAAAGAGTGCTGAATGGTGTCCCCTTTGGAGCCTGTCAACAGTGTTTTGTGTTAACCTAATTCCTCACAGCTAGAAGATGAGTACTCTGAATGTTTGTTCTTTTTTTCTCCAGACCTGCTTGTCTAAAAATAAGGTTTTTATATTTGGATAAAAAGAACATTGAACTCGTGATCATTTGAATGTGACCCATTTTAATGTCCATGTTACTGGTGAAAATTCCTATATGCTTATGCTGATGAGTCCTTATGATTAATTAATTTGTCATAATTAGAACTGGAGGATAGTGTCATTTCTTAGTGCAGTCTGATGTGAATCTTCTGTGTGATTTTATCTTCATCACCTTAATCTCTTCAGTGAGGTCAGTTTTATGCAAAAATGAAAGTTTCCTGTCATACGGTTCTGGGACCCTGCACAAATAGGCCTTATTCCTTCAGGGCTTCATTTTCTTTCAGTTTCCTGGTTCTATGTTTTGTATGTTTCCATTTTTACAGGCAACTAATGAATTTGTTGATTGTTTCATACAGATTAAGATAAAAATCAACAGCATAATTGTTCTTTTCAAGATTTTGCTGTCTTTGTGGAATATTTTTTTATTTATGAGTGCCAGAGTAAAGGGAAATAGCTCGTTCCTATCTAATGTGCAGTTTGATAAAGGAAAAATACGTAATATGTAGATTTTTCAGCATCCTACCTGAAATTTCTGAATTTCTTTACTTAGGGTGGTACAACTTTTTGTATGGGTAAAAGGATTAACTCTCATTTCATCTTGCTTTTCATTGTACAGATTCAACAAGAAACCAAAGAGGGGGATTCAGTACCTGCAAGAACAAGGAATGCTTGGCACTACCCCTGAAGACATTGCTCAATTCTTGCATCAAGAGGAAAGATTAGATTCAGTAAGGAAACTGTTTTCCTGATGGTTGTCTGTGCTTATACTGATGTGTTTATACTAATTGCAAATCAGCTGATAGTGTTCAGAGTGTGTATCACATTATTGTGGAATGAAGAAAAGGAAACCTCTCTCTCTCTTGTAAAATTTGTAAGTTCAAGGAATTTGAGTTGGAGGGTGCAGTAGAGCTCTACCCTGTGCTCTATGCATCCTGTGGTTCAGCATCCTGTAAAGCAAGAGACTGACCTACTTGAGCTGACTCAAAACTTGTACTTAGTTGCTAGTATAGCTTGAAGCAACTTAGTAAATCCTATATACTTTAGTAAGGAACTGCCAGAATTATCTGTCCTTCAGAGATGGTGAAAATAATAATGTGGTGTAACAACATTAAAAGCACTTTTTTTCTGCCCCCAGAGGAAAGTTAGCTAATTGAGATTAGCTCTTTCATTTTATTTACAGCTAGCAGCTGTTGCTGGACTTGGAAGGGTCCTGCAATATGGGTAGGAATATCTCATGTTAATATTGTCATGAGAAACCTAACTTTCTGAAACAGCAGTTTTCACCATTATACATAAAGGCCACAGCCATTGGTGCCCATGTTTGCTACTGTGGCTGAATTCACAAATTTTGGTATTAATGCTTAGAATCAGACATTAAAACGTTTTTTTAACCTCAGTTTACATATCCAGGCATCTTTATCTGAATGCATGCTCTTCTTCATTGTACTGTGTTGTGTTGACAGTGATCAACTCAGATGTGTTTTGAGTACCAGCTCTTTTTATTTGAGCATCCCTTGCATCTGTTTGAGATCAGTGCTCTAGGGAAAAAAGTTTAGTGAGCTTTTCATTCCTGTAATAAGTTTCTTAACTACAAAAATCATTACAGCAGAGTACAATCATTAGTAATACTAACTTTGTCTTGTACACGTGTGGAATTCATCTAACAAACAAATGGCATGAGAGTAAGAGCAGAGAAGGAAGAATGTAGGCAGATACATATGAGCATGTAAGAGCATTATGATGGAATATATGGTTAAAATACTTTGCTTCAGACAATGGAGGAGAAGCAGGAGTATGTCTCAGTTAACTGCAATACACACCTCTTTTTGTACAACATTTGACTGCTGTTGGTATTTATTTTTCAAATATAAATGCACTAGTTTGTCTTTTCTACTCTTGTTTTAGACTCAGGTTGGGGAGTTCCTGGGAGACAATGATAAATTTAACAAAGAAGTCATGTATGCATATGTAGACCAACACGACTTTTCGGGAAAGGATTTCGTTTCAGCTCTGCGCATGTTTCTAGAAGGATTTCGTCTGCCCGGAGAAGCTCAAAAAATTGATCGCTTAATGGAGAAATTTGCTGCTAGATATTTAGAATGTAACCAAGGGTAAGATACACTACTTCTTCAGAACTTTGGAAAACTGAGTGATTAGTAAAAAATCTTAATAAATTAAATTTGCTATTCTTTTTCTCCTTTTTGCCTTCAGGCAAACTCTTTTTGCTAGTGCAGATACTGCATATGTTTTAGCTTACTCAATTATCATGTTGACAACAGATCTTCACAGTCCACAGGTATGTTGATGGAATAAATATCCGTGTAATTCATAGGCATGTAACTTTCAGGCATTGTGACAGTGTAGTTGTTAAAGCTTGTTATCCAATTTAGCATCAGGATGTGTGTAATAAGTAAGGTAGTCTACATTAGTGCATCTTTTTAAGTAGCAGTATTATGTTTCATGGGTGTTGAGGTTTTGAAGTTTTTTTGGGTAGGCCTTTCTGTAAGGTAGCTTTCTGCATCATGGATAGTTTGGTCTGTATGACAAGAAAAAGTTTTTTTTCCTTTCTTTTTTTTTAATGTACATGTAATTTGACATACATTTGATCTGTGGATCCCACCAAATGTTTGAGTGTTAGAATGTCCTCATGGCTTTGCGGTATATTGTAGATTTGACAGTGTAGTCTTGGATATGTTGAATACTTTAAAAAGTCTTCTGAATCAGCAGGTTTATCCCTGATGGTAACTTCTTGTGGGCTGGGCAGTTTTATAGGGAGATTGTAAATTACAAGCTTGCCTCATGTGTTGATATTTACAGCTACTTTCTGCATTTCAGGTTAAGAATAAAATGACAAAAGAACAGTATATTAAAATGAATAGAGGTATCAATGACAGTAAAGATCTCCCTGAAGAATATTTGTCTGCTATCTATAATGAAATAGCTGGAAAGAAGATTTCAATGAAAGAAACAAAAGAATTAACAATACCCACAAAATCCAGTAAACAAAGTAAGTAGTGGCATTGCTAGCTTTCTTCAGTTGGGTTGGCTCTTCAGTTTCATGAAGCTCTCCTTTTTAAAACAGGAGTTGAATGAAGCAAACACCACTCACTTAATTCACAGTGAGTCAGTCCTAGCTTCTAATTTCATATTCTTTTCTTTTTAACATAAATGCATGATGCTAACCTCAAATCTGCATTAAATACAACTGCTTATTTTCACTTCCCTTTGCATTTGAATTCCTGGCAGTCAGTGCATTGACCATGGAGGAGGCAGGTGTTGCTGTTGAGCAGCAGCACAGGGAAAGAACTGTGAGGTTACATGGTTGCCAATAGGTACAGAGCAGAACACACACACCGTGTGTGTGTCTTCTTTTTCTTAAGTAACTGTTGTGATTTCCTGCAATAACCAATCTGTTTTCAAATATTTTGCAGTATTTGATTCTTAGGGCCCTAATTTGTGCACTTTATTAATAATAATTCCTTTCTCAGACAACAGAAAACCTTTGTGTTTTGCATATTGTGAAGATTGAGATGTTACTCATTCTAACTTTTCTACAGAGAACCTTAAGAGAGATTGAACTTTTTCCCAACATATTTGTATAATTTAAGTCCTAGGTTAGCCTTATGAACAGATTGCTTGCAGGAAATTTGCATCTGAAAAAAAGAAATACTCTTGTTTCAGTATTCATTCACTTAACATAATGTTTTATTGTCACTTTTAAAAAGATGATTATTACATGCTACTTGGATTTCACTGTCTTCTTGAGAGGTGGGTTCTGTTATGGAAATGAAAAGGTTTAATGTAGTTCTCACACTGAAAAAGGATGTTCAGTTATTTTTATTGTTATTTTCTCTTTTGATGGATTCCTATGACATATCTCTTCATTTTGAATTTAACTTAGTGGGTGTGATATTTATGCTGTCAGTTGAGGTGATGGAGAAGAAATCTCTGTTGTTCAAATCTTAAAATTCTGTAAAGGTTTAAAAATAGTTTGCATTTCAAATACAAGTTTGCCTTAAGTTAAATTTTATCTATGTTGTAAAAGAAATATGAGAAGGCTGGTATGATAATTTCAGAAAGTGAAGATAATACAAAAATACATCTGAATATTGTACTTAATGAAAAACATAAAAATTATTATATTCCTAAAGATGCACAAATGAGAGAAAAAATGTGTTTGCAGGTGTTGCTAGTGAGAAGCAGAGAAGACTCCTATATAACTTGGAAATGGAGCAAATGGCTAAAACAGCTAAAGCTCTTATGGAGGCAGTGAGCCACGTTCAGGCCCCTTTTACCAGTGCAACACACCTGGAGCATGTGAGACCCATGTTTAAGGTGAGATACCTGTTCAGGTAATCATGTAGAATATCAAAGTTTCTTAATACAAAATGCTGACTGACAGGATTTATTGAAAATACTGAAGATTTGCATCTGCTGTGCTTTGCTCATTTTGTGAGTTACTTAACTTGCTACAGGAAAGAGAGGATTTTGAACCTTCTAATCTAGTTTCCTTTACCCTGGAATTTAAGAAATTTCTGTGCTGGTACAAGAAGCAATGGAGCAGTTATCAGGAAAAACGTTTATCTAATGTTGTCTGTTGCAAATTAATGCTTTAGAAAGCTAGGAGTGTAGTCCAGTGTAGGGGAGGAAGCTGAACCTGTATTAAACTATTATTCTAAGCACCACTGTGCTATTGTGTAAGTGCAAAGCTGTCTGCATGCCAAATGCTTTTTCCATAGCAGTGATTCAGATTCATAGACAGAGTATGTTCAGCAGTGTAGGATGCCTCAGTGTGCTCTTGGATGTGGTCTCTGGCATACCTAACTCACAGCAGTCATCTGCCATTGAGATTAATTGTTAGGGCTTTGAGATAATTGTTAGGGCTCTTGTTTGTGCCCTTGTTCAAGTCATGGTGCTCACATGACCGCTTTGTGAACTGCTCCAGGGAAGTAAAGTCTCAGACCTCTACCACTGAATGAACAAATGGTTCCCTGGGGGGATGTGCTCTGAGGTTAGATGGAGCTCCAGGCCCAAGAAGCTCAGAAACATTTAGGTTGAAATAGACTCTTAAAAGCTTTGAGTCCTGCTGTTAACCCAGGGCTGCCAAGTCCACCACTAAACCATGACCTGAAGTGCTGCATTTACATGTCTGATAAATGCTTCCAGGGTTGGTGCCTGCACTGCTTCCTTGGGCAGCTTGTTTCAACTTATGTCAACTGCATCTGTGAAGGAATTTTTCCCAATATTCAATGTAAATGTCTCCTGGTGCAACTTGAGGCCACTTGCTCTCATCCTTTCCCTTGTTACTGGGAACCTACTCCCACCTCTTTCACCAGCTCCATTGTCCTTCTCTGGACTCAATCCCGCACCTTCATGCCTTTCTTGCAGTGAGAGCCCAGAACTGAGCACAGGATGCAGAGTGTGGCCTCACCAGTGCTGAGTACAGAGCACTGCCCTGGTCCTGCTGGCCATCCTTCCTGGCACAAGCCAGGATGCCATTGGCCTTCTTGGCCACCTGGGCACACTGAAGGTCTCTGTGTAAGATTGCTGTCTATGAGGCAAAATTACGAGTTCTTTGTCACCTTATTAAAAAAACTAGCATAGTATTTAATTTGTACGGAGGAACACTAAGCACAGACCTTGTTAAAAATTTACTTTTAGGCTGTTCAAGGTATCACATGGGAGAGATGTACTATACTTTCTCTCTGCGGACTTCCTGAAGGCTGAAATTAAATAATTCACATGCAGGCATCTGTAAAATTCATAGTGTGATTTTCTTCAAGATACCAGCCCTAATCCTTCCTACCCTTTACTGTCTAAAAAGTGTATATTCAAAGCTCATTTTCAAAGGAGCAAAAAATGAAGCACCCTGGTTAAATTAACACTCTAAACATGTTTCATGAAGGTACAAAAAATAAGAAGTTTTTGCTTGAAGTTATTTGAGGGTGTTCGTGAACTAATTAAAGTGCTGAGGACAGTAATGTAATGTATTGACCAGAGGGCCCTCTTCTCAAAAACAAGTGAGAACTGTGGAATTGGAATACCTAATTTCACTTTTTAAAATTTAGACTCAAATATTCAGTGAAAATTTACACATTTCTGGGTCTCTCACCCATTGATGTCCACATAAAATTGATCATTGTAACTGTGTTTGCAGATACATTGGCTGAATTCTTAAAACAGCAAAAATTCCCTTTATGCACCCATCTAAGCAGCCCAGAATTGATTGTCTGGTTTTGAGGCTTGATTTTCATCTGTATTAACAAAGCAGCCTACAAATAACAGCATACATGTAGTTACAAAGCACAGTATACAGACCATTAGATAATTTTTAAGAAATTATTTCAGTTTCATGATTTTTTAAGATTAGTTTTGGTTACAATAGCAGGGAAAATTAGGAAGGCATTGGGAAAAAACATACATTTCTGAACATAAAATTATAGAATAGTTTGGGTTGGAAGGGACCTTTAAAGATGATACAATGGGGAATTAAATCCTGAATCTTTGAATTCATCCAGTGCCTTTAATACTGTCTCCCAGTTACAGTTTGGTATGTGCAAGCATTAAATGCTTTTTGAAGGTAGTGCTTTTGGAGCTGCTGGCTAAAATGAAACCAAAGCTCAGTGGTACATCATTTTATTATGAAATTAAGTGTGAAATCTATTGCTCCTTGCTGTGCCCATTGACTCTGTATTTCATCTGGGGTGACTTAAGGTAAAATTATGTCTAAAATCATTCTGGGTTCTGTGGTGTTTCCTCTCCATAACTCCATGTAGTTACAGCAGGATCCTCTGCATCTTCTCACTGTTTTTTCTGCCTTTGGGAGGGGGAGCCTTTGCCACAAGGAAAGGACTATGTGGTCTGTCTTGCAGTACTCAGTGGCACCTAAGGCAAGAGGAATGGGAAACATCAGTAGTGGTTTAGGTACAAAAAGATGGAGGGAAAAGGGCAACAAAATTAGTAGTAGAGAGATAAGGCAAGAGTCTTGTCCGGTATTTTGCTGTTGTTGTTGTTAGCTTACTATAATTTTAGTGTAATTAATAAAGTTTACCTTATTTTTAGTAATCTCCTTTTTTTGTTGTTGGTTTTTTCTGGTGTTATCAGGATAAGCTAGTCTTACTTATGTACTTTTCATCATAAATCTGTTATATGGTGTGTTGGTTATTACAATAAGTGTTTACTCTGTGTTTCAATGTCCAGAGATAAAAGTCATCCTGGGAGTGCTAAAACTCTAACAGACATCTAATTGACATAGCTTTAGGATTTGGTTTTTACAGCTATCTGAAGATGGCTGTGTGTTTGTTGCTGAGGGAGAGGACAAGTGCTTTGGAGGGGAGCTCCACTCTGCATTACTTCTGCCTCATTCTGTCTCATGTCTCTTCTGACCACACTTTTTAGTATTACATGTTTCATGTCTGTATATTCTGTTTCCTTTTTGTCAAAAGACAGCTTCAAGGTTGATTATGTAAGTTAAGAATGGAATTTACACTTCAGCAAGATGGTGAAACTATCACATTCCCCTCAAGTACCAACAATTGCTGATAATGGTAACACTTGCTTTGCATCCATTGCAGTTGGCATGGACACCTTTCCTGGCTGCATTCAGCGTGGGTCTGCAGGACTGTGATGACACCGAAGTTGCCTCTCTCTGTTTGGAGGGTATACGATGTGCAATCCGCATTGCTTGCATTTTCAACATTCAGGTAAAAAATGTAAGATTGACACAATGCCTTGGTTTATGTACCAGCAAGATGTTAGTGGGATTCTGAGTGTCCTTGCTGCTGAAGCTGTGCACTGCAATAGATAGGGGCTGCCTGCTTCTGACATTACTATTTCATCTGATATTTGACTGGAAATGTACATGAAGTGACCTTTATTTTTCCTAGTGTTTTGTGGTAAGTGCCTCCGTGCCTCTGCACTGAATGTTTGTTTCCCTAGAAATTGACTACTTCTATGTCAAAGTATTTTATTTCTAGCATTGTTACAAAGCTGTTTAGGTGTGTTTTGTTGTTTTATAAAATGAGTCTCTCCATCATGTAAAATAGTATCTCTCTGAACTGTATTTGAAATATTGTTCTCAACTTCAGAGAGATGATATTAATCCAAGATGTCTTTAAATGGATACCCTTTTAACAGTTATGGCACTGAAAATGGCATTCCTGTTGTAATGAATGAATGGATCTTGCCTGAAGTGCATTGCCAAGAATGCCAGACTCTCTGGCTCCAGAGGGCCATGGTGATTAAACTGGGGCTTTTTTTGGCTTTTGTTTTTCTATTTAGAAACCATTGGTAGGGAAGGTACAATTATGTTATTGTAGATTATTAGTTAATAAATAGTACTGGTCTGCCATAGGTCTGTTACAGACATAGCTGAAGAGAGGGGCAGGCAAAATCTGTATGTTTGGCTTTGTGTTATTTCATGTGTATGTTGAAAATGCTTACCAAGAGAACACGCACCAACCCAGAAACCAACTGTGTAAGACTAAATAGAAGATGTTGAACTATGATATGATAGGGAATGGTTTCCTTCCTTCTCCCCTTGTATTTGTATTTGGCAAGTTAGATAACATTTACCACTAATGTGGAAAAGCACATTGGGACCTATGATACAGCTGCTTAAAAAAATCCATTTGAGATCATGTGAGATTTCTTTCCTCTGTTTTTCCACCTAATTTCTGCATGACCACCTGTTCCCAAGCTCAACAGACTTAAAAATTTGATTAACAAAGCCTTCCCTGGAGCCTGCAGATGTTCAGTGAAACACACTCCAGTTACTTTTGTTTCTAAGCTGCAAAAGTGGGACTGGTACCAAAACCAGTTTCAGCAGCTGCAGTGGTCAGCCTTGCTGGGGAGGGCAAGGACATGTTTGCTCCAAGATCCCTGTGATTCAGTTGTACCCTTCCATTGGCTTGGGACATGATTGAACTGGAGGTGTTCCAAAAACAAGTTTTTAAATTTCAGAAAACGGGAAGTGTTGCTTTTGCATTTTCAGTATAAGCATTATTACTTCTTGGTTTTCTGTGGAAATTCTGTTTTGTTGATATAATAAAAAACAGTACTGGTTTGTTGGTAATTTCAGTATTACAGGATGATTCCAGTTCACAAGGTCTTGGTTAGGTGGGATATTGTCTGACTACAGACACAAGATAGCTCTGATGGTTTGAAGGAGACTGGCATGTCTGTACTTGTGCTGGTTTAAGGATCTTGTCTGTTGGAATGAAGTTTATCCTCATGTGCTTAACCATGGCAACTTTTGGCAGTGATGGCAACTTTTCCAGTTTTCATTGTGGAAATGTATAGAAATGAAGATTGGTGTCTATTAAGAGTTAACATTTACACACCTTGAGAGATAATGGAGGGACCTGGATTCCTTTAATTTTAAGAAAATTTCCAAAGTACACGATATACAGTTTAAGTTATACATGCTCACCTCTAAAACCTCAATTATGGATTATGGTTTTAATAATTTATATTTTTAATCTTAGACTTGTCACACAGTCTGACTTTTGTCTTTAAGCATCTGAGAAAAGATATGCATCAAAAGGATGTACTTAATCTACTTATATCATCAACTTTCAATTTCTGGGTGATGGACACATTATTTAGTTGTTTGTCTTCTACTGTGGTGGCTTAGAAAAAGGGGGAAGGGGGGAATACCTACATGAATGAGTAGGACTGAAAATGTTTTGGTTTTATAGAAAATACAGTTTGTAGGCTCTGATGCTTCATTGCTTAGTACTCTTTCTTTGAGTCTTCATTTTTCTGTGCTTCTACATTATTTTCTTCACCTTTGCCAGCGTACCCTGCAGAAATGGTTGGCTTTGAATGTGGCAGCTGTTCTGTAGTCAGTGGCTCAGTGGCAGTCTGTTCCTTCTACCATAGCCCACTATTGTGGTGTTAGTGTTTTCTCTGGGGAATCCCATCATTCTTTCTGGTTTTTTGTTGTTTTTTTTTATTATTTTACTTTATATTTGGTTGTTTTCTGTGTTCAATGATTTTTTACTTTAAAAATACCCCTAAATATCCAAACAGTTAATTATATTTCGTAATTGTAATTTATCTGGTGTACAACCATTTCACTTTACAGCCTTCAGTTTATATATAACAGGAGAATAAAATACACTTGTGGGCTCAACTGTAATCCCCTTTTTACCATTGTAATTGGTTCATGTGAAATCTGAGGAGTTCCCTTTGTTGCTTATAGATACCATACACATAAAAATTGGGTAACTGGGTGGAATTTTCTTTTGTGAGATCTGTCAGGATTTTGGTCACTTGCTGTTTACCCATGACACTTCTTCAGAAGCTTCTGAGATGCTCCAAATGGTGCAAATTAAATCAAATCGGTTTTGAGCAATTCCATGGAATTGGCATAACTTGCCTTTTAGATACATTTTTTAGATTTTATTGACAAAAAAATGCTAAAGCTTCAGTGAGTCTGCATAAGGCAGCATTTTCAGAGTAGGTCTGAGTATGGTACAAGAATATAGAAAACTTAGCTAATTAGCAACATTTCTTCTGAAGCAGCATCCTCTTTTCCCCAAAAAAGACCAAACCAGAAATGTAAGCACATCTTATATGTCCTATGCTGTCAGACATTACACTTCATGTTCCTGAATAGAAGGACCTGATTTCATCCCACAGATACCTTCTTACTGGTGAAGAACTAGAGATATTTTCACTATGCTTTGGAAATTCAGTTCTAGGAAGAGAAAGATAAATGGTATAGTTGATGAAATCATACAGATTGTACTAAGAACAAGAAATGGCAAAAATATTTATGAGACTTGTGTTTCTTTCCTTCCCATTTGCAGCTTGAAAGAGATGCCTATGTTCAAGCATTAGCAAGATTTACGTTGCTTACAGTGAGTTCTGGTATTACTGAAATGAAACAGAAGAACATTGACACCATTAAAACTCTCATCACGGTGGCTCATACAGATGGAAACTATTTGGGAAATTCCTGGCATGAGGTACAAGTAATTTGTACTTGAGCTGTAAGAAAGCATGTTCACTGATTTTCAACTCAGTAGTGTGCATGTTTGTGCATAAACACAGTGTGGTTTAGGTAAGTGCTGCATGTATACTAGTAGCAAAACATGTCTAAGTGAGAAATAAAACTGAGAGAGACTAATCCAGTACTATTTAAATTTATATTCATTTTAGAAAAAAACCCAGATTTTTTGACCTCAAGTATTGGAACTTTTTCCTTCTAAAGAGCTTTACTTGCTTTTTACTATTTCAAACTGCTTTTGGTTGGTAAATAACTTCTTTATTCTCTGCAATAGATTCTGAAATGCATCAGTCAGCTTGAACTGGCACAGTTAATAGGAACTGGAGTAAAACCTCGCTACATCTCAGGGACAGTGCGTGGCAGGGAAGGTTCTTTTACTGGAACAAAGGATCAGGCACCTGATGAATTTGTGGGGCTGGGACTGGGTAAGTGATGCAGATACTAAGTATTTCATTTAGCTGGTTTTGTTCAGAGAACTATTTAAATTTGTTCTGTGTTTTTATGTGAGTTTCTGACAAAAGACCATGAAGTAGTCCTTGTAAAACTTATGCTTTGAATAGACTTACTCCAATTTCTGGAATATTTAGTTTGCTCTGTTATTATTGCTAGGATGGAAAATGTAAGAAGATTATATATGTTGTTCAATTCTATTAAAATATCACTTTCCAACTAAAAATGGATTGCAGATGGTATGACTAGGTTTAATAATATTGCAACATTAGTGTGCCAAGTATTTTACCAAGCAAGCAAGTCAGTATGTGTAGGTTAAGCATCTGTTGTGGAGCTTTGTGAGAAATACACAGAATTCAAACCAAGTGGGAGATTATTTAGCTTAAATTCTGAAATTTCATTTCTTTCCTTTTCTGGTTACTTTGGTACTGAGTAAGTGCCTTTTTTAGGCTTGAGCACCAAAATATACTGCAAAAATGAGATTATTTTTCTTATCTTCGTAGAAAAGTATAAGACTTACCTTAAATTTATCTTTAGAATGTTGAGAGTTTTGTTTATTTGTTTATTTTAAGTGGGAACATGGTTAAAGATATATAGGTGTAGGGTATTTAAAAACTCTGGAAGCATCAAAGTGTATATATAAAGTCTTTTTGACTATGAGAAAGTTTCAGTTATAGTTTGATGCTCAGTATCTCTTGCCTTTTGAACTTCACTCACAGCCAAACAAAAGCTTTGTCTTCCCTCAGTTTTTCATGTAATTTTTTTTGAGTAATGATAATTTTCTGTTTTTCCTGATCTTAGCCCCCAAACTACTCCTAATCATCCAGGTTTGTATTCTCCTCAGAGAGTTTTTTTCCTTCTATAGTCATTCCTTTTCTTTCCCTTTTGCTCCCCTTTGGCCTGCCTCTCTGTACGTCCCTCACCTTGCCAAGCACTGATGAATGTTAAACTTGGGCTTGGAAATCAGTGAGTCTGCCAACATGTCATACACTGGGCTTCTTCCTGCCCTTCCAATATGCATCTTTCAGTGTTCCCTGATGGACTTGTGCAACTTGGCTACTTCCAAATCCTGGCAGTTTCTCTATGCTTCTCTGTGCTTCTCTAAGGCTAAAGTGGCTGGCCTTTAAAAGTTTTAAGTCCTCATAACTCAAGAATGCAACTGGTATTCAGGTTTCCCTAAATCATACTTGCCGCTCATTGGTATAGGTCCAGCTCATAAAGACCTTTTGCTGCTGTCAGCTACATTTCTAGGGAAAACAGTTTATGCCCAAATACATAAAATGTTTTTCTCTGAATTCAATTTCTGGAATGCTTATTACAGTGCACCTATGGAAACTTGACCATTTTCTTTTTTTTTTTTTTTTAAATAATGTTGCTTCAATCTTATTGGAAAGTGCTTAACTTGGTTTTTATGCACTAAGGGGCTGTTAGAACATTTTCTCAACTGTTTTAGTTATTTCACTTCTTTCCACAAATCCTTTTTTGCAGATAGTTTAATTTTCTATGATTACTCCAAAGTATGCATTGGAACTATGGGTTTCAAGCAAGCTTTCTATAAACTTCTAGGAATTCTTAAATTCCTGTGAAGAACACATAGTGTATATGTCCATATACACAGACACATATTTTACAGGAAAATAGTTGTTTAGAGTGAGTGAAGTTGCAGTCTGATGAAACAGAAACTCCATCTTTCAGACCTACTTGCAAAATCAGATGTGGATAAGCAGCAGTGCTCACTCTGCTTGCTGAAGTTAATGTGTTTTTTGAAATAACAAAGATGAACAAAACCAGACCCAAAAGCTCCTTTGCTCATTTACTGCCTCAGCAAGAATTTAGGTGTGGCTGTTCAGGCATCTGCACTCAAATGTCTTTATCTCTTATATTACCTTCCTGTTGTGACCCTTTTTTTTTTGTTGTACTTGGAAATTCAAAGCATCACAAGCATGGGGGTTGTAAAGGAATGAATAAGCATCTAGTCTATTGCTCCTTTGGTAGGAATATTGCCTTACTTGGAGTTGTAATTGTGAAATCCACATTTCTCCTATGTCAGTTTCTGTTCACAAAGTTGGAAGACAAAACTTGCTGCTGTGAGTAGGTCATAGCCAAAGTGTTTGGGCTCCTGGGTAACCAGAAATCCTCTTTGGACAGGGGGAATCTGACAAATCTCTTTTTTGTAAAGCAGAGTTACCTAGCTGACTCCTGTGTTGCACTGTTAAAGATTTCACGACTGTTAGAGTGTAAGTCTGCTGTCTGTTCAGGTTTTCAAGCATTGAATTACAAATCCTGTGATAACAAGGAATTCTCACATAAGCTGGTAAAGTTGGTTAGGGCTCTGACTCCTTGGAATTAGCCCTTCCAATTCTCTTCACACCCTGCTGCTCATTTGATACTTCTTAGCTGACTCATTAGCAGCATTCAAGCTAATTGACACTGGCAGCTTGTGTGCTTACAAGAGAAGTCTTGATCAAACCCAGTGGTATTATACATTGCTGAGATACCAGCATGAGGTTACATATGTATGTACAGAAAAGTTGTTCCATAAATGCCCTAGAAAAGTACTTCAGGTGGGTAAGGTTGTATAGATTTCACAGACAGTCATCTCCAGCCACCTCCAAGTGTGGATGGCTCTGAGGCATCAAGGCTCTGAGGCAGGCTGAAACATGAGAAGTTTTTCTCTCAGCAAACCTCTGAGATCAGAACTACTTGCTTTCTTTCAGTCTTCTGTTCTTTTCTATATTGCTTAAATAAAAAAAAAAAAAAAGTCCTGCATACAGGGTATGTGGAATTACCCAAAGTGATTGCAAGATTCCAGCTCTTTCTTTGATGGTGATTGCTTTTTTTTTTTGGAGATGGCTAAAAATTTCAGAATTTTTCTCACTGCAAAGTTTGCAGTTTCTTCACTGCTTTCCCAGATGTGGGTTACAGTTTCAAGCCTCCAAAATAAATAATTACTTGTTTTATTTATAGATATTTCTCACTATTTTGGGGTGATAATTTTGCTGTAATTGAGATGTAGCTTAAAGATGGAATTCTGGTAGAAGCTATTCTTTCTGAATGATAAGAAATCTTTTGGGATTTACTCACTTGATGCTAATTAAGTGTGAAAAATTCTCCTCTAAGCTATATTCTCAGTCATATGTTGTGTATTCTAAGTGGCAAGATTACCAAAGTTTCATTGAAAAATGGAGGAAAAAAGGTGATTCTTGTGGGTTTTATTTTTTTTATCTGTTGCTCCAAATGTGGACAATTTTTAGGGACTAATATAATTTATACATGGATACAGACATAATAATTAGGTAATTAGGATAATTAGGACTTACACCAACATGCAACTGTTCACTGAGATGGCCAGCTCATGCAAGGGAAATTCATAATGTGCTTCTCTTTTGTGAATTAAAAATATATTTAATTATACTGGTAGTGGCAAACCTATTATTCCTCTTTCTTCCCAACCCATTCTGTATTCTTTTTTACCCATTTTTCAATTTTTCTCACTGTAGTTGGTGGAAACGTGGATTGGAAGCAGATAGCAAGTATTCAGGAATCCATTGGAGAAACTAGCTCCCAAAGCGTTGTTGTTGCTGTAGACAGGTACTGTATTAAATTTCTTGGTGCCACCTGAAGTTTTTCAAGCAGTATTTGAATACCCTGTGCTAAGAAAAGGACCTTACTAATTTATTAATTTATTTGGAAAAAGCCTACATAAAAACTACCATAGAGAAGTGCTTTTCAGTTAGAGGGGGGTGGATTTATTTTTGCATCATGGGTGTTTGTGCAAGAAGGAGCAGGGCAAAGATTAGGCAAGAAGCTTTTTTACTGATAAAAAAATTACTGCAGAAGACTTACAGAATGGAGTCTGCTGTAGTGTCTGCTGAATCTTGATTTGCTGTATATAGTAACAGATTGCAAATCTCATTTTGCCTTAGTACTGAGGGCATTATTGTCAGACTCTTTTTCTCCTAAATGTAATTACTGACTCCCTGCTTTCCTCTAGGTTATGTGGATGTTTTCTGAAATGACCAAAATTATTATTCCAGTCTTCCTTTCTATGAATCACATTTATTTTAACTGGATTTGGCTAGGCAGAATACATATTTTGAACATTCCCAGTCTATATCATACAGTAGTGATCAGACTGAAGTGTTCATGGGTCTTGCTTGCTCAGCATGTAAGAAATCAGAACATATAATTTTTGTAATGGTTGTCAAAATTGATGAAGAGACATTATTTTGAAGGCTTACAAACATTTCTGTGGTTGAAGTACAGGCAGCAAGATCAATGTCAGTTCAATGAAAAGTTGTCTTGCAGTAAAATCACATCAAGTGCACTGGAAGCTTGATGTCAAACACACCATAGCTGTTTAGGTTTGCAGTATCCCTCCCTGCTTCATAATGGGAAGTGTTTCAAATATCTGTTTTTCATGGCAAATGGGTATTATGCACTCTGGAGATGTTTGAGTTCTGTATTTCAATCGGGGATGATAAAAGCTGACTGTACTCTCACTATGTCTTTACAACTGTAAAAAATTGTTTCTTAATAAATAAAAGTAATCAGAGACTGTCTATATATTGTTAAAAAAAATAAGACAAGGAGGCTTGAAAACATTTAACAGGTGCATTTCTTAAGAAACTTTAACCATGTCTTTAACTGCACTTCACAGAATATTTACGGGATCTACAAGGTTGGATGGAAATGCTATTGGTAGGTTTAATCTCTTCCCTACCCCTCCCCACCCCTGTAAACTGAACCTTGGAAAAATATTTCATGAAAACCTGTGGTGATTTAACAGTGGATTTCGTGCGCTGGCTTTGTGCTGTGTCTATGGATGAGCTGCTGTCTGCCACCCACCCTCGAATGTTTAGTCTGCAGAAGATAGTAGAGATTTCTTACTACAACATGGGCCGGATCAGGTTACAGTGGTCTAGGATCTGGGAAGTTATTGGCGATCATTTTAACAAGGTATCCCTGTTAATGCTTACAGTGCATACTCCTTCAGTTCTTGATACAGATTATTTTATTTTGAGATTTATTGGAAAATTGTGCTTATATGAATCATAATGGGTTTTCTGTCCTTCTCTGTAAGTTAAACTCACAGAAATTGTAAAGCAGTAAAGACCTGCAAGAAGGCAGAGGTACTCGGTATAATAAATATAAAAACAAAAGTATATCTTACGTTATTTATCATTACTTGAGTCTAGAACTGGCTGCTGTTAGTTTTGTGCTGTAGTTTTTGGGGATGTTTCATGATGCTTGGTTTAAGAGGTTGTCTTCAAGTCTAAATTGACTCTTTATCAAATGAATGTTTGACATGCATTTTTAATACAGCTGTTAAAGTCTTTTTTAGATGGCTTGCTTATTTTTACGAGGTTTTAAATGCCAGGTTATTTAACGTATTTAATGTCGAAAATAGCTGGAATTAGGGATTATTGAATTGCATAAACAGTGTGATTTCTAGAGTTGACTACTGTTTAATTTCATTAATTTTTCAGTACTGCTTAGTTCTCTGTTATCAACTGTAAAGGCAGCTTGTGATGAATCCATACAAATTCTGATGCAAGCTTACTCTGCATTTCTATTCTACATTCTCAGGTTGGCTGCAATCCCAATGAAGATGTAGCTATTTTTGCAGTAGACTCATTAAGGCAATTGTCAATGAAGTTCTTGGAGAAAGGAGAACTTGCTAATTTCCGATTCCAGAAGGACTTCCTAAGACCATTTGAACATATCATGAAGAGAAACAGGTAATAACATACAATTAACTGAATTGCCTGGCATCACAAGCATCAACTTCTGCAATTAATATTTCAAATTCCTTTTGTAAAATCAGTTGTTCGAGAATTATACTATTCAAATTGATTTTGTAATTCAGTTTAAAAAAATTATTGTTTATTATCCTAATTTAGGTCTCCTACTATTCGAGACATGGTTGTACGGTGTATTGCACAGATGGTGAATTCCCAGGCTGCTAACATTCGTTCTGGCTGGAAAAACATTTTTTCAGTGTTTCATCTGGCAGCCTCAGATCAGGATGAAAGTATAGTGGAACTGGCATTCCAGACTACAGGACACATTGTCAGTGAGTATGGACAATATTCAGACATCATGGAAGCAAGTGTCACTCCAGAGCCCAAGAAGCTTTGTGGACTCACAGCCTGCAGAGTAGAGCCTGCTTTCATGTCTTGGAACCAATGATTTACACTTTCCAATTGGTCCTCTAGGAAAATGCTTACCAGAGTCATTCAATAAGAGTAAAGTTAACTGGTTTTCTTTATGCCTTTTAAAAAAACTTGCCTGTTTGTTGCATTCTGTAGTAAAACAACTCAGGCCTTAGATAATTCTATTTAATGTGTACGTTTTTATTTAAGTGAAGTATTTTGGGGTTTCCCCTAGGGAAAAAAAAAGTGCATATTTTACTAATATGTTGTTTGCTTATCTTTTTCTGTTATTCTGAATTGTGCTTGTGTAAGGCCCGTTTAGGAGAAAGTGCTGAGCTAGGGGGGCACTAGATAATTTTTTCTCTCTCTGTATTCTAATCTAGATCCCAGGCTTTAAGGGATCTCTTTTTTCACTGAACATCTACAAGTTTATGAAACTGTTTCATCTTCGATGAAGCACTTTTTTTTCTTCAAAAGCAGCTATTTAAAAACAAGGCAACATGTTGCTGGCGAGGAGGTCCATTAATAGATGGAACTCCATACTTCATGTGTCCCTCTTAAGCTGTGGGGACACAGACTAGTGTTAAAAAGTAAGCCTATTGCTCTAGTCTTGCTTAACTATTACATTTCCCTGCTTTAGTCCAGGTTCTACTTTAATTTATTTTTAATACTCGCTGTCAAAATGAAATGCCCAAATGCCCTCTGGGTAATTTTTTTTTATATTACTTTTTTTTTCTTTAGTTTTTCTTACAACTCAGGCATTTGACAGCACCAATCAATGAACCAGTCTCTCGTGACTTCTGTTACAGACAGTTCACATTAGAATTAATACATTTTAAAGCATGACACTTTTTTTTTCTCCTTTTCACACTTTCCTCTCAGCAATCGTGTTTGAGAAACACTTCCCAGCAACCATAGATTCTTTCCAGGATGCAGTGAAGTGCTTGTCTGAATTTGCCTGCAATGCAGCATTTCCAGATACCAGTATGGAAGCGATCCGCCTCATTCGCCACTGTGCAAAATACGTGTCTGACAGGCCTCAGGTATAGTCTGTGTTAACTAAACTGTAAGTGCTTTTATAAAGAAAAAATAGATATGCTAAACTCTACTGGCTTCCCTTCAAGTTTCATGGATTAATGAGAAATGTACTTTATTCAGAAACAATTGGAGTATAAAATGTCACAGGCTTTGAAAATATAGTGATTTTTCTATTCTTTTATTCCCCTTTGCCCATTCCTGCCACCCAGTTCAGCTGGTGACTTGCATTCCTGAGAGCTGTTGGAAACATCATATCTCAGGATCTGCTCTTTGCTGGGAAACGTGAAGAAATGGATAATAGCATAACCAAAAATGTTTGATACCCTCAAAATGTTATAGTTAGGTCCTCACTTTCAGAGCTATCTATAAAAAAATGAGAGCAAGAAACTCACTCTGAACTGCAAGCAAAAACTCGTGCTTGAATGTGTAATCTTGTTTATTTTTTAAGTTTATTCATCATAATATACTAAGGATTAATTTGAAAAACACTTCACTTTCCCAGTGTTACTGTTTTAATTGCCAACTCATCTGAGGTATCAGGCTATAATACTCTTGAAAGAGAGGTTGTTGCTTACAGTCCAAGTTGTGTTTTATTTTGAAGAATCTAACTTCTATGACTGTCTAACTCTGTTTCCTTTCCTAAAGGCATTCAAGGAATACACAAGTGATGATATGAATGTAGCTCCTGAAGACAGAGTGTGGGTGCGAGGATGGTTCCCAATTCTCTTTGAGTTGTCCTGTATCATCAATAGATGCAAATTAGATGTAAGAACCAGGTAACAATCAGTATTTGTAATTCAAATTTTAAAAGGTTTACTTTATACTTTTGAAACAAAAACAACTCTTGGTAAATGTAATCACTGTAAAATGACTTATGTATTTAATTCAGGTGATACCACTGTGGAAACAACAAACACCTTTTAAATAGACACTGGAATACAGAAATTAAGTCTGTGTTCTGTATATTTTAAATTTGTATTTTCTGTTATAATAAACAACAAAGTTATGTAGTTGTGATTGCATTCTGCCTTGCTCATCCCACTTACCTTGGGGATTTTAAAACTGGTTTTGTACCATGGTTCATTAAGTGGTTGAGGATTGCAGAAATGGTTAAAAAAAGCAAAGCTGTACCCTGATTTCATGTAAAGCTTGCTTATTTTTCTGGAATATGATTTTCCCTTGTAAAACATATTCAGTTATAGTTCTGTGTGAAATATGAGGGGTTTTACACAAATAACTTTAAATTCACACATTGGCATGCGAGCTATGCATCCAGACTCCCTTTATAGCTGGTGAAAGTTAATAATTGTTTCTAGACTTTTGTACTTTTTAACTGGAAATATTTGTTTATTAATTTTTTGTGGCCCTTGGTAAAGGAGTTCATTTACTATTTTAATTTTAATTTACCACAGCTCTCAAAAATATTTTTGGCTATTGCCTGCAACTATAAAGTGCTGTTTTACAAGCTGATTTTCTACTTATGTTTTGGATACTCGTGTGTCTATATTGTTCTAAACAGTTTTTGAGTTTGTTATTGCTGCTGTAGTTGTACTTACTTGGTCTTGTTCACGTCTTTCTGTAACTCTTGGTATAAGTTGTTCTTTCTTTATTTCAGGGGCTTAACAGTAATGTTTGAAATAATGAAGACATATGGCCATACCTATGAAAAACACTGGTGGCAAGATTTGTTTCGGATTGTCTTCAGGATATTTGACAACATGAAACTGCCAGAACAGCAGACTGAGGTGATAAAAGTGGAGGAAGATAATTTACATGAGAGCTACATTTACAGTAGAAAACCTGTAATATAACTTAGTCAAGTAATGTAGGGTAAACCTTAAAACCTGGATGGTGGACCTGTGGTTCTAGTAGCCTTGTTTTGTTTTAATGGAATTCTAATTGGCAGGTGTCGTCACTTTTTTTCATTTTTTAAAGCCATATGCGTAAATGACCTGGTAGTTTACACTAGGAACAGCTGAAGAATAGCATAAAATGCAATGTATCTAGGGTTTGTAAGAAAAACTGTAGCTTTTACACATGATGTTTGGAATCTGAGACACACAGCATGCTCACTTGAGTGAGGCTTGTAATCAGCAGTGAAGTCACAATTAGAGGAAATAAGTCCTGTTACTTCGAAATTTTTTGATGACAAGGCAGAAAAAAAACCCCCCTCAGCCAAAGTGAAAACAAACCACCCTACAACCAACCCACAAAAAAACATAAACCACCCAAAACAGCACTGTGCTGTCATTGCACACTTTTGACCAGCCATTCGGGTTTTGATCTGCCAAACCAGAACCAGGTACTGCTTTGAAAAACAACTGAAATGGGCTTTAAAATGCAACTAATGTGTAAATTATTAGTATTGGAAGTAGGAGCAAAATTGTCAATTGTTTAGGAGGCTTTGTCTGGCTATTTGTAGTAGGACATGTCTCACTTCAATAATTTTTTTCCCCTGGAAAATGCTTAAACACAGCTTTAGCTTGGTGTTAAATCATTGAGTAGGATTGGACACTAAGACTGTTTGTCTGTTCCTGTAGTTCTTTTTAAACCTGCTTGTTAGCAAAGCAGGAGTTAAGGCTCCAAATTTTGAGGTTTTGAGATACAGAAATGAATTTCATGTCACTATAAAGCAAATTGAGTAAATATAAATGTTCATTTATACGTTTATCCAGAAGTTTCACCTTCAGGTTGTAACTCTTCTTTTTTTTTTGACTCCTAGAAAGCTGAATGGATGACAACTACTTGCAACCATGCACTTTATGCAATCTGTGATGTATTTACACAGTATTTAGAAGTACTTAGTGATGTTCTTTTGGATGATATATTTGCACAGCTGTACTGGTGTGTGCAGCAAGGTAGGAACTGCACAAATTATGTTAAAACAATGTTAACATTTTACTCTGTTGAATGTGAATGAACAAATACCCTGTTTGTCTCTTACAGACAATGAACAACTGGCACGATCTGGTACAAACTGTTTGGAGAATGTTGTCATCCTTAATGGTGAAAAGTTTACCCTAGAAATCTGGGATAAAACTTGCACTTGCATGCTGGATATTTTCAAAACTACAATCCCTCATGCGTAAGAAAACTTCATATTTATACTTTGTAAAATAGTTTAGCTAGATTATTTACCTGTTTCAAACTCTTAGATATCTCATGGGTGGGGTGAACAAAAAGCTGTTAAGTGTGGACTAAAGAGAAACAGACTTACTTGCAACATGGTGATAAATTAGGTGTAGGTATTCTTCTGTACTGTTAATGATGAAGTGTTAAAAACTAAAATACTATACAGGAAATAAGCAAAAAAACTCTCCAACACCCCCCAGAATGTAACATGAATCAGTTTTAAGGTTTTAGATTTTTGGAGAAGTACTATCTGATTTTTTTGTTACTTTCTTTTTTTGTAATAGAAGATGCAGGCTTTGCTGTTTGTAATTACATGCGGAGCTTTTGCCATAAAATACTAAAATACTGCAACAGTCTTACAGATTTAAGTCTCTGTGGTTGATGGTTAATTTCCATCATATGTTTATATGAATCTTAATATTTTTCTGAAAATTTTCTTGGCTATTTGGTAGTTCTTTCCATTCTTATGATAACTCTGCGTGAGGTTTCTTGGAGTAAGGCTGCACCATTCCAAGTGCTGTGTTTCATCCACTTCATATTCTTTGCTTCTGGGACCTACTTTAGGCCTGAAGAAAACTGAAGCAAAAGAAACCTTCTGCATGTCAGTCTTTCCTTTTCCTCTAAAATTCCTCCAGTTTTAGAGTTGCATATCAGATAGCACTGTAAGAGAGCTTCATTCATCCATTAAAAGATAAAATCTGTCATTGCCTCACCTATTTTTTTTTTAAGTAAGTAGGTATAAATTAATTCCATCAAATAATTAGTGTAAAATGAAGCTGAAATATTTGGGAGCTAGCAAGATACTTCTGTATTTTGGTAACTGCCAAAAATAAAATTGGCAGCCACATCTCTGGATGTGGAAGTCCAGCTGAATTAACCCTAACTTATTAGGGTTGTACTGTACTTGGAAAGATTTTGAAGTTAATACTCACTAGCAGAAGATTTGCTTTGGTTTCAGCTTATGATCAAAACTTAAATTTCTGGGTATTCTTATAATTGAATATTAGAAACCTTTCTAGAGCAGCATTTTGAATATCTTAATATTTAGACATACTCAAAATACTCTTGTTGCCTTTAGTTATATCTAATTTGAAATATGTGCATTATTCACTTTGATGTTAAGGCCCTTCTGCTTCTCAAATGGGTTCTTTTCCTTAGGAGAGTATCCAACTCCTTCCTTTAACTTTCTCTTTCTTTCTCTTTTAATCTTTCTCTACCATCTTTTCAGAACTTCATTATGTTATTCCTTTTTAAATTTCTGGGAGGTTCCCAACTTTTGTAGTCTTATTTTGATTTTTTTTTTCCTTCTCTTTCTGAGTCCTAGGAGGATACTTCTTTTTTGCCTCTCTTTTTATGGCATCTGGTTCTTTTCTGAGACTCCTGGTTTGGCTGATATTTCATATTTTATTAGACCCTCTATTAGCGCTTTTTCTTTTTTTTTTTTTTTTTTGCAATGAAGCTTTTTCTCCCCTCCCATCCTTGTGTTTTTATTATTTTATTATTTTGACAATGCAAAAACATGTTTATCAGTTTTAATGTACCAGTTTTAATAAAACCACCCAGTTTTATTAGCTTTCAGCTTGTTGTGGTGCCTGCCTCAGTGCTTAGAGAAGGCAAATGATCTCTTTACCTTTGTTTTTCCATGCCTGGAAGTAACACAGTAGTTAATGTTGAAATGAAGACAGACAAATCACATGGTGTTATATATGAAAACTTTATGGGCAAGTGCTTTATTGCCAGTTGTCTTCAAATAGTGAGAGGCTGTGAATCTCTGGAGTGTAAAGTATCCTCTGGCAGAAGTTCTTATTAGTCTGATCAGGTAGAGTTTCATTTGTTCTTTTTTAGCATTCATACGAAACATCTTCCAAGTGTTGTGCAGCTTCTCTAATTTAAGAGCTGCAACATTGGCTGCATGAGTTCTTAGTTGCAGTATCAGCCTCTGCTGTTCTTGGCAAGTTACTTTTTTTGCAAAGAGAGTTGATCATATTTCCTTGTTTGAAAAATGTACTATTATATTTAGTATTATACCAGCTACCAATTTCTGCAAGGATCAGTTACTGGAAAACCACAAACCATGCTGCTGCCAAGCTTCTGCAGATCACTGAGGTGTTGATAGCTGGAGATACTCCTACAGAATGGAGTTGGAAAGGACTCTGGAGCTTTTGTGACCCAACCCCTGTGCTTAGGCATGGCCACCCCAGAGTACTTTTCCCAGCACCATGTCCTGACTTTCAAATATCTCCAAGGAGGGAAGCTCCACAGCCTTTCTGAGCAACCTCTGCCTTGTGCTTGATCACCCTCACAGTGAAAAGGTGTTTCCTAATGCTCATAGGAAACTTCCTGTGTTTGTACCATTGTCTCTGGTCCTGGCATTGTGAATCACTGGAAGAAGCCTGGCTCTGCTTTGCCCCCACATTTCAGATAATTTTAGTGTGTTGATGAGATGTCCTGAGCCTTTTCTTCTCCAGGCTGGACAGTCCCTGTTGTCTCAGACTCTCCTCATGGGAGAGATGCTCTGGTTCCTTCTTCACCTTTGTGCCTTTTTGCTCAACATTCTCCAGTAGGTCTGTGTCTCTCAAACTGGGGAGCCCAGGACTGGCCACAGTGCTGAGCAGAGGGGCAGGATCCCCTTCCCACCTGCTGGCAGCTCTCCTCACACAGCCCAGGACAGCGTTTGCTTTCTCTGCAGCAAGGGCACCCTGCTCACTCACGTCCAGCCTGGTGTCCACCAGGATCCCCAGGGCCTTCTCTGCAGGCCAAGCTGCTCCCCAGCTGGGCAGCCCCAGCACGTCCTGGGGTGTGGCCTTGCTCCTCCCCAGCTGGAGAACTTCCTTCTTCCCTCCCTGAACTGCACAGGGTTCCCATCAGCCCATTCTCCAGCCTGTGGAGGTCCCTCTGGATAGCAGCATGACCCTCTGGTGTATCAGCCACTCCTCCTACTTTGTGTCCTCCAGCTTCCTGAGAGTCCTCTCTGCCCCATCACCCAGACCATTAAGATGGACAGATTAAACCCAGTACCACTGTACCACTGGCCTCCAGCTAGATTCTGGGCACCTAAGTCACCATCCTCTTGGCTTAGCTGTTCAGTCAGTTTTCAGTCCACCTCACTCTTTGCTCGTCCAGCATATCAATTTTTGCTTTTTTAAATAGTTTCTTTAATTTTTCATTTAGCTTAATTTCTCTTCTGTTTATAATTTTTGTTAATTTAAGTTTTCTGAAGCTTCATAAGAGTGAGTCTTGGCTTTCTGGTGCTGAGAAATCCAGTGTGAGTGCCCTCTTGTCTTCAAAAAAATCAAGAGTTAGAATTTGTTCCTTGCACAGATTATGATGGTCCAGCCTCTACCAGCTCATAATGGCTCATTATCCCAATGCCTCAATCTATGTTCTTGCAGCTTTCAAGAATCAATTCAGTTCTCTGTTCTACTTTATTTGTTGCCTTATTAATGCCTCAAGATTTTATCTTTTCTTATCTCCAATTTGTCTTTTAAGTTATCCAGTATTCAGTTTTCTGGAGCTCAGTGGTACATTCACTTAGGATGCTTAACTTGGTGTAAAAGCTCTCCCTTAGGAAATGCAGGCACAAATGTCCAATATGTGTTACCTCACACAGATGAAGACTAAAGAGTTTGAGATCATGACAATGACAAGTAACTCCAATCTTACTTTGCAGCAGTAGATTGGATAGAACAAGAAACAATGGGACAGCTTAGGTTATTTAATCCAATTTTCCTCAATTCTTGGCAGGCACAGACAGTCTCAGTAAGTTACAATTAATGTAGAAATTTTTAGTGTTAAGGTTAAGATCCTCAAGACAGCAGTGTCCTATAGGAAATCAGCAGGGAAGAGATCAGAAGTATTGTCAGTGATTTGATACCTCATAACAGCAATGAATCCTGAGTGGATGTGTTGAATTTTTTAGTGGAAATAGAAACTTAAACCTGGAATATACCCCAGACAGACAATGCAAAACATTTCCAAATGTTCGTGAGGTTTCTTCTGGAGTAGATTCATTCCTTATTCTAGGTCAAGCTTAAGACAGTGTGGGAGGAGAGGCCCACTAATGGCACTAAAACTCTGCCTTAAGACAAATCCAGAATTTCTGAGAAAAGCTAATCCATCTCAGTGTAGTCCACCTGTCTATCCAAGGTAGTTGACAGAAATGTTGAAGTTCAGCAAACACTTTTAAATGTGTGAAAAAATAAAGTGCACTTAGAATTGAAATTAATGCAAAACCCCCACATCATGTTGAAAGGAGTTTTTAGAGTGTTGGTTCTGATCTATATTTGAAACTTAGTAAATTTGGGACTGGTGTTGTGTTTTCAAGGCTGCTGACTTGGAGACCAGTCGGTGGGGAGTTCTGCTCTGGCTCTCCCTCTGATGCAAAAGAAAAGCTGGTAAGCTGCTGAAATAAATAAAACAATAATTTAAGATTGCAAGAGCTCAGTACAAATGTGTTGTGATGTAGAATAGGTGAAAAATATACTTGTCTTAAATAAATTTCTCAGTTTTGATTTATGTGATTTGGTTTTCCAGCTCAAGTGCTATTTAACATTTAGAAATGGCAAGGAATTAATTGATAAAGAAGTATGTATTTGTTTGCAGCAAAGTTGACTTCCATAAATTGGCTGTGGGTAGTTACCTGTGTTTGTTTTAGGTAATGTCCTGTGTCTGGCAGGTTTCTCTAATACTGTATTGGGCTTTGAGTTGTTTCATGGTTTAGGTCATGGTTTTCTTTCATTTTGCTGTACTGGAAAGAAGAGAAACTGCTGAAGAGGGATAGATTGACAGATTGACTTATTTTTCCTCCAAATTTTCTCTTGTAATAAGACCTTAAATATCTATTTAAAGTAGAAAATTTTTATAACTATCAGATTTCATAGTGTTGATTGAAGAAACTGATGTGAAGTCTGGATTTGCCTGCAAGTGACAGCTCCTGTAGCTGCTTTGCTACTGATGAGAATTAGTTTAGCTTTTGGACATTCTCACAAGATCGCTGCATAAAGTTCTGTATAGATTAATGAAGAACTTGATACAAGTTACTCAAGGATAATGGTCCAGATGAGCTTTACTAAGAGAGCCTGACTCCCTCCATTTATCTTTATGAAGTGTTACCATAATTTAGCTTAAACAAAGTAAATGTTTGTGAAGGCCAGTTCTCAATATATGGGTATTGTACCTTTGTGTCGTACCATGACTCATTTATAGTGGTTTGATCTCAACATATTGGCTATATTTTTGATCCATTTAGGTCAAATATAATAGCATGCATAAATGGCAAATAAATGTCTTAGTCTTGAGTAAATTGAAAGATTTTTCCCTTCGAAATAGTTTAATGTTAATGTTTTTAAAAAATATTTTTGTCTTTGTGTAAAAAGATATTTTGCAACTTCAGAATTAACAGAACTTGTGTAATAAATGACTCTAAAGGAAGAATATTTTGGCTATCTCATTTAGTAGGTTTGAACCTTCGCAGGCTTTGGATATTTTCATCTCATTTTTCTTTAGGTTGCTCAAATATGATGGAGTGTTTTGCTATCAGTAGACATGATACCTATTAAAATACATATTTTTACTTAGTAGAGGTTAAAACTTTGGTTATCTACTGATATGAGAAGCTGAGGTGCTCTTTACAGGAACCTGGCAAACCTCCTACTCTTGATCTGGTAAAAGCTGTAATAACTCCTGGGTGACAGAAGAAATGCTTGGAGGGAGTGCAAAAACCTATCTGAAAAATGCTGCTCGTTTCCTTTTCTGTGTACTTAAGTACTTGTTACTTGTTAAATTTTCAGTTGTTTCTTAGTAGCTCATCTTTCTGGTACATCTTTCGTGAATACTCGTAGCAAGTATGACTAACGTGAATGAAAGCGCAGTATTGAAACAGCAAATGTCTTGATGAGCTCTGAAGAGCACAGCACTATTAGCAATTACCAGAAGTTTTCTGTAAGTTAATTACTTAATTTTCCTTTTTTTTTTTCTTTTCAGGATACAATCTCCCAGAAGTCAGTAGATATCCATGACTCCATCCAGCCTCGACCTTCAGATGGACGCCCATTTCAGCCCAGCACAGGGGCCACAGTAGCGGAGGAAGCGACTAAAGCCAGGCCAGCAGCAAGTGTGTACTCTGCAGGGGTTTGGAATTCTTATCTGTGTAGAGTAGTATGTACTGGATGTTTGATATATTAGTTACAGTCCCAGCTGGGACTTCAGAAACATGATGTGAAGAAATCACATTGTTTAAATTTTTGTCTTCTTGTAGTATGACAGAATTCTCTTGGACTCCTGTGGGTCCACATTTTTTGCCTGTGTTTTAAAAATCTAAGAGTTCAACTGCAAGCTTCTAGGCTTTTACCCAAAGCAAAATATTAAAAATAACAATCTCCTTACAGTGCTGTGTGAGATTTCTTTTCTTAGGAGCAGAGATTTTTCAGTGCAAAATGCAACAGAAGCAGTAGCTGAAAAAGAGTTCTGTCTATCATTTGAGGAGAGTTTATCAAACCCTTATTTAAGATCCTTGTGCAGTTATGTTTCATTGCTTAAAATGGTCATGTGTTTCATTAGTACTTGCCACAGCTGCAAACAAGCATGGTACCAAATGCTGTGCTAAGCCTCCTGCCTGGGAACAGCCCCTGGCTCTTGCTATTGCACTGAAGGTTCAAGTCACTCATTTTGGTGACTCTTAGGTAACACTAAACCAGGCTGATGCAATGTATCACAGACAGCTTCAGGAAACAGGTTTTTAAGAAGTTCCAGTTGGTAACATGATGATCTCTCCTGGTGTTAGTAATTCCAGCAGGTGGATTCCAGGTTCGGTTTACACATGTGCTTGAGGTTAAACTGTTCTTCAGCATGCCCTCAGAACAGCTCAGAAAAGTTCTTTAGTTAACAAGTAACTTTCTTTCCTTTAAAGAATTTCCAGAACAGAAGTTATTTGCTGCTCTTTTGATCAAGTGTGTTGTACAGCTGGAACTCATTCAGACGATCGACAACATTGTGTTCTTCCCAGCGACTAGCAAAAAAGAGGATGCAGAGAATCTAGCAGCAGCACAGGTAAGTGGAACTGATAGGTACCTCTCTTTTTAACACCTTTTCCTCCAAAGGTGTTAAGATAAAGTTTCTTGAACTCCTGTAGCATCTGCTAATTGACAATTTTTACATGCGTTTGAGAATTTCCATTGGCCTGTTGAGATCTTTTACAGCTGGTGTTATAAATTGCATTTGCTGTGCCAGGGCTGCACTGTGGAGATGAAAACATGTATTGCTCAAAGGGATTTATATATCTGGGATGTGGATACAACCTTTAATACAGTGTTAAGTTTAAGTACAAGAACAGATGTAAACAGGGTAGGATCGAGTTATCACAGGAGCTTGCCGAAAACAGTTGTGAATTTTTACTTCAAATCTTTTTCTTCCTTTTCCTCTTTTTTCAATAGAGAGATGCAGTAGACTTTGATGTCCATGTGGATACACAGGATCAAGGGATGTATCGTTTCCTAACATCACAGCAGCTTTTCAAACTTCTCGATTGTCTGCTGGAATCTCACAGATTTGCTAAAGCATTTAATTCAAACAATGAACAAAGAACTGCTCTCTGGAAAGCAGGTGAGTCAGTCCTCTTGAAGAAATACTTTGTGACAGTGTGAATTGACCCAAAAATAGGTCAGGAGTACTTCGATGCTAAATGTAAAAGTTAAAGCTTTAGCTCTGTAAGTGTAGGATTCATAAAGGGAGGAGACCTAATCTGAGGAGGTGCAAATATCTCTGGTTTCCTAAAATTCAAAGTTTCACTGAGGTACAGCTGCCAAGCTGATTCTTGGCTGTAGGTGTGAGTCCCATGCTCGGAAACTGCAGGGACAAACACAGGTTTCACAGCCAGTTATAAGCTGATACTAAAAATGGGTGCCAAACACAATTATGCTGCCATATATAAACAGGTTAATTTTTAGCAATGATCCATTGTCATAAATATTATGAGAAATTAATTATCTGAGGTGGTGGTTCTGTCTGTGTGCAGAAGATGGTTAGAAAGAGAAGTGGGGGACTGTAAGAAACTGAACCAAAAATCTGAATGTATGCTTGGAATTGATGTAGGTTTCAAGGGCAAGTCCAAGCCCAACCTGCTGAAGCAGGAGACGAGCAGCCTGGCCTGCGGGCTGCGCATCCTGTTCCGCATGTACATGGACGAGAGCCGCACCAGCGCCTGGGAGGAGGTCCAGCAGAGGCTGCTGAAGTAAGGCCCATGGAGCTGAGCCTGTTGAATTATTTCTGCTGTTAAGGAAAAGGAGTGGGTTATAGACCATGTCTGTTTGCAGTAAACTTCTAAAGCCAACACCTGTGTGTGGTGGTCACAGCTAATATTAAGAGTTTTATGTTCTGTGGGGAGTGCTGTGCCTCCAGCTAGTGATGCTGTCTCTCCTTTTTGTTCTCATTACATGTTTTGCCGGGAGAAAAAAGATTTTTTTTCCACCTTTTTTTTTGTATCATGTGGGTAGGTGGGGGCTCTCCTTTAAAAAGGAAAGCAGCTATCACCTAAACCCCATTTTTTCTTTCACTAACCTCAGGTATTTTAGGGAAGTGGCACTGTTTGTTCTCATTTTCAGAAATGGACACTGGGCTTTAGCAGCCTTACGAGCATACTGAGGCCTTTGGCTCTTTGGTTATTGATCTGAATGTTCTTTGTTTATAAAGTTTTCAAGCAACTGGTGGAGTAAGGGAGGGCTTTAAACCTCAACAGCAACACTTAAGGCTAAGACTCCAAGGTTCACAGACTAGGAAGCAGAGCTGAAAACTGCCTGGTTACATCAACATGAGATATTCCTAAAGCCCACATAATGGTTTGTCAGATACCTCTCAAAGAGCACTTGATATGTTTCAAATGCATTCACTGACAGTATAATCACGTTTTGTCAGCTTATTTATTACTGAAGTCCTAGGACTTTGGATTTGACTTGAACAAGGTCACTGCTTTCTGTCATTAACCAGGCTTAGAGCAGCTTTCATAAAGCAATGCTGTACTACACCAGGGCTTTACACTGCCAGAATTTGCAAAGCCAGAGCTCTCTTTCTGCAGTAGAGCTCAGAAGGAAATGTGAGGTGATATTTTTTGTGTCTTTTGTCTCCAGTGTCTGCAGCGAGGCTCTGAGCTATTTCCTCACTCTTACATCAGAAAGTCATCGGGAAGCCTGGACTAACCTTTTACTCTTATTTTTGACTAAAGTCCTGAAGATAAGTGATGAAAGGGTAAGTAACTGTTTGCAATGATGTTTGAGATGACATGTACAGGTAAGAAGTAGTTCCAGACTGGTTCATCACACACAGTTACAGACCTGACTTTAAAAGCTCCTGCTGCTCTGTAGACACTCTTGTGTTGAGGGAATAGACATTCAAACTGCACTTGACAGATACTGACACTAATAATTCAGTGTGAAGATGCAATGAGTGATAAAATAAAACGTGTCAGAGAAGTTTAAAGGTGCTGGAATCCTTTGTAAGTGTGTGTTAAATTGTTTTTACCCCTCTCCTGCTGAGGAAGACAATTAGTGATGATACTTTATTCAAAGAATTAACTCTTGTTTCTGCTGCCAGTGCTGCAGGTACACGTACACCTTGACCTTCTCCAAAGCAGTTCTGCAGTAAATAAATCCCTGTTTAATCTCCCTCTAAGAACACCTGGCTGAAATAATTAAGTGATGAAAAAGGCCAACTGCAAGAAAAAAAACTCATAATAGAAAAATATTTCCTCTTGGAGAGTAAGCATTAGTAAGGAGCTTTGTGTAGCTGGTGAGCATCTGTCAGAGTGTATCACAACTGTCTTAGCCTTATTCTAGCACTGCTAATTTCAGTTGTAAAGGTGTTCCTGCTTGTCACTTGGTGCGTTTCTCACCCTCATTTGGGAGAGTATTTAAAATTCTGTTTTTGCAGTGTGCTTTCTAAGGTGTACCCATGTATAATAGAGTCATTTCTTGTTTGTTTTCTCCTCAGTTCAAGGCCCATGCCTCATTCTACTATCCTTTGCTGTGTGAAATCATGCAGTTTGACCTTATTCCCGAGCTCCGGGCTGTGTTGCGAAGGTTTTTCCTGCGGATCGGGGTGGTTTTCCAGATATCCCAACCACCAGAACAAGAGCCTGGAATAAGCAAGCATTAGCAGATAGTGATGCTCTGTTTCCAAGTTTATATTCCTCAGCTAAATAAAAGGACCAGGTAGCTGGGCCATTCTGTCTGGGTCTCCATGTAAACGGTTTCTTTCTCTGGCAACGTTGTATCCAAGGGTGAACGGTACAGACGCTTCCAACTGTAATTAAGGCTTGCAGCACTCCAGTCCCTCTCTTTCCTGGCGGATTCTCTCTCATCGGTTTCTCTTGCCTGGCTCCTGCTGAGCACAGAGCCAGTTTATAGCACAGTCCCCCTTGTCAGCACGGGCTGCAGTGTCCTTTACTGTCCTAGACAGCAGCATAGCAACAGATGTTTATGGCGGGTGTGAAAGTGAAGTGTACCCAAAGAAACATATATATGTAAAGGTTTGAGCTTCTGCGAGAAGTACAACTCAGGAGAGCTGTATTTTGAAGGATAAAATGTTTATAGTGAAAAGAAAATGGAGATTATTGTTCATGGAAAAAATATTTAGCAACTATGTCTGATATTCTAAGATTTTTGCACACTCAGGCTGTCTGAGACATTGGTAATCATCCTTCTGTGAAAATGTACAGAGATGCAGATCTGTAATATAAACTCTTTAACACTATACAGTTCTTCCCAAATTATTTTATTTCTGTAATACTGATTTGTTGAAAGCCCATAACTCTTCCTTGTTTACCAAATGCACTAGAAGTTTGGGTTTCTTTTTTGGGTTGTGATTTTTTTTTCTTCTTCCTTTTTTGTTATTTTTGTTTTGTTTTGTTTCATTGTAGCCCAGAAGTTATTGTTGCCGACTTTTGTCAAGAACAGCGGTAGAAATATCACGACTGACATAACTACCTGTAATATACTTGTTTTAGGGCTTTGAAATTTAACGAGCCATTGAAATGATGATCTTTCAAGGACTGGAACTTGAATCACTGCAAACAAGTCTAGGTTGTGTCTGCTGTCAGATGTTTTTTTGTTTGATGTAGATTTCACTCTTATGTACAGAATTTAATGTTGGATATATTCAAGTAACAAATCTGGCATGGTTTGGGGATGGTTAAATTTATTGGAAATGTATTCATACTGTGAATTGTGCTCTGATGGTTAACAGACGAGATTGTCAAGCATTCTGTATTACAATGGATGTAGAAATTTTTTTCAGATGGACAAAATGTATATGGTACAGATATGTAAAGTTTTCTATGTAAAAAAAAAATTCTGTACAACTTTCTGTACAATATTTGGTTCTCATCTGGCATATTCTAATCAGGTTATAGGTCAATAAAGTTTTTGAACTCTTTCATCAGTGCAATCAAAACCAGTCTAATCCACAGCTACTTGTTTTACAGTTTGCTTTGCCTCTCATGCTTTTGTTTTAAAGGAGCAAACTCCAGACCCTAGGAGCAGAAAGCTGGGTGCTCTCTGGGTGACTGGGATGCCTCTTCTCGCTGTTAGAGACAAATACAGGGGGAAAAGGAGTGGTAAATTAAAAAAAAAAAAATAATAAAAGGTGGTCAAGGCGGGAGGAGAATAAAAGCGTTACATGAACTGGTCAGATGGACCCTGTAGTGCTGCACAGATAGAAGCTCAGAGCTGCACTTAGCTCTCTGGGGATTAAAACACAAACACCAAACAGCTGCTGGATAAAGGGGGAAGGGAGGGGCTGGGATTGCAGTTCTGCTGACTTGGAACACAGCAGCCAGCTCAGCCATGTCAGTATCTTCAGTTTTGCTAGTAAGAGTGGAATTGGATTGTTCTCCAGTGTGTTCCTACAAAACTCCTGACTGGCACAGGAGAGCAGTAGGAAGAGCAAGGTGTGTGAGGCAGCCTCCTCTCTTTCAGGGCAGTGTATCTGCCACAGACATTCGCAGCAGGCTCCAGAAATAAGTGTAAGCATTTCAGTGAAATAGCTATTAGAAAAGCCAGAAAAGGGAATTAAATGCTGTGACCTGTGGTTCAGAGTTTGCTCACAAAGTTAACTGGGGTGGAGCAAAACCAAATAGCAATTACCAGAGTCAGAAGGGGTAGAACTGAGGTTATTTGAATTAATTGTAGCTTTCCTCTTGGGCCGTATTTTACTTGTTCAGTTTGTTGTGCTGTGTTTTAATCTTGAACTGCTGTGTTAGGCAAGACCTAAGGTCCTTGACAGTGACCAGTAATAATTTTTATGGTGAGTATAATGTGTCCCATTCTGTTCATTGTCGTACTCTCCCCATGGCTTAAGCAAACTGTTCTGAGACCATTGCCAGGTGTCCCTGACACTGCTGCCCTGAGCACTGTTTAAACAGCCCCTGTTCCTTGTGTGTCTGCCCAATTGCTTTCTGATCATCTGTGTTCAAGATAGGGCAGTAAGTACAATGAATTATCTAAAATCTTGGGCAGTTGGTGTTTTGGGGCTCTTTCTGATTTTAAACCTCACTGCTATATTGTTTTGTTGTGTACTCGTCTTTAGTAAGGACACTATTCTTTCTTCTCATGCCTTATTTATTGCTCATGTGGAAAAGGCCCCATAGCTGTTTAATTTTGGTTCATTGGGAGCTGAACTTTGGTGTCATTGTAACTCTTCTGTGCCTCTCTTCAGTTCTTGCAATGCCAGAGCAGCACCAGGTGCGCTCTGGGCATCGTGTTCAACTTGCAGCTCTCTGAACACTCACATACATGATCATTGTCAGAAATCTGGGGTCAGGGGCAGAGAATAGGTTCTCTTTTAGTGATCTCATTTCCCATCAGGGCTGGGACTGCAGGTAGATTTATTTTGCAGGTGAGGCTGTCATGATAAAAGGTAAGGGAGGCAGAAGGGCCCTGCCAAAAAGCTGAACTTGGGAGAGGCAGAGGGCACTGAAGAAAGATCTGAAAAGGGAAGATGCAAAGGATTCAGTGTCCTGAGTAGTGCCCAAGGGAGGGAAGTGTGGAATTCATGGTGCTAAGGGCTGCTGAGCAGTGAGGTTAATTTAGTGGTTTCAGGCCACAGCACAGGTGAAGGAAATAATTCAAATGAGGGGTTGTGCCACATCCTGGCCTTCAACTGGAGGATGGTTCTGTGGCATTCATGAAATTTACTGCAGTGAAATAAGAGTGGCTTTTTAGGGAAATACTTTGTGCTTCTCTTAGCAGAAAAGCTCCAATTAAAATTTAAGAAATAATAATTAAACTCTGTAGGCAGTTAGATGAGGAAGAGAAATTCTGCATCTAGCCTGGAGTTGGTACAGTGAATGTGTCTCAAACTTCAACTTGTGAGGCAACTGAAGAGAGCCACCAGGGCAGGTGACAAAACATAAAAGGCATAAGGTGGGCTTTGGCACGGGAGGGTGGTAAGTGTATTATTAGAAAGCATTCTCACAAAGTTATTTCCTCTGTCTCTGGGAAGTCCAGCCTGAAGCAGCCATGCAGCGCCAGGTACCCGCTCCAGCCCAGGTCAGGGATTGCCCAGTGCCCCTGCTTGAGTGCCCACGGCTGTCAGACCCACACTGTTGAACGTTCTCACTGCTGAGCTAGAAATTCAGGTAAGAATTACCCTGATTTGGGAAATCCTCTCTGGGAAGGAACATGCTAAGCCCCTGAATTCAACACCACACAGGTTTGACAGTACGTCTGTCAGCAAACAGTGCCTGCCCTCATCATAGAACTGCTGTAGCCTTCAGACAGGCTTACAAAAGCTTGAAAGTGGCAATGTAGTAAAAATAAGACCTTGTAAAAAGTTCTTGTTTTCATCAGTGGTTTGTTAGGGTCATTTTTTCCCCTGTTGATCAGGTTTAGGCCTCTGGGTGGGAATTTCCTAACCAAAAGGAAAGTTGCAGCTTCACCCCAGCTTCACCTTGGTTGTGTAGTTCACTGAACTCCTAAAATCTTGCTCCATTCCTTCTTGCTAAAGCTCTGTGCTCTCAATGAAGAGATTTTCCATGTTTCCATGTGTTTTTATTTCTTTGGAGACAGCCTTAACACTCCAGTTTGTTCATGAGTAAATAAAAGCTGAAGCAAATCATAAATTAAGAAAATTGAAGTCGGCTTTCACAGTTTTTATAACAAAAATAATTTTAGTAACAAAATACTTTATTCACTCTTCAATCAGAAACATAAATATATTCAACAATATCTCTATTTTCAGCACACAACAAGTTAGGGAATGTAAGACACATTGTTAATAGTATTTTTTTTCCATGAAAGTGTTAGCCGTGCTTTCATGCAGGACAGCGTTTATCCTGTATGAAAACCTAAGTGTCCTTGTTCAAGTTACTCTTTGGGTAAAAACCTAATGCTCTTCTGCTCTTGGGCTGTTCTAATGCCAGAAAGTTCTGGAGTTTGACTATAAACCTAAAAAACATCTTTGATTTAATATCAAATTCACACACACCACACTCTGTTTCTGAGGCTGAAACTTAAGTTGTATAAAAAGTGCAAAAGCTGCCAAGCTATTCCTCCATGTCCCACGTCACGGAACAGAAAACATCCCTGCGCTCCACCTCCGTTCCACTGCGGCGGCTGATCCTTTATTATTGCTATTTGCAGTGACTCGCAGCTCCACGCTCGGTGCACGGGAGAGAGCTCTCCCTCCCTGCGGGATTCCCGGCAGGGCCGAGCGCTCCCTCCCGGCCGCTTCCCGGGCAGAGTCAGCCGTGCGCGGTGGAGAGGCCGTGCCAGCCCATCGGGAGCGCGCTCTGCGGGGACAGCTGCCCTGCGCTCCCCGGGGACAGCTGCCCTGCGCTCGGCTGCTCCGCCAGCAGCCGCCGCAGCGTGGCCGAGGAGCCCGGCCGCAGCCAGGGCTCGGTGTCCGTGGAGCTGGCCTGGGACTGGGCGCGCTTCAGAAGGTCATCCACGTCCCCTAAGGAAAGGTCATCACCTGAGAGAGAAGAGCAACACGCGTGTTAGACCCGACAACGCGACACAGGGCAGGCTTGGCTGCCATCAGTGCAACAATAATGCTTTAAAATTAGATATATAATAATGCTTTTAAATGATACATATAATAATGCTTTTAAATGACATCTCTACTTAGCACATGTTTGCTGATGCCCTGGGCAATTGGGCCTCAACAGCTCCCACCGAGCAGCTCAGTGAGGGGATAAGGATACAGGCAGAGGTGGGTGGATTCGGCAGAGGGTTCTTGCTTTCCAAAAAACTTCTATTCACTAATCTGTCAGTGCCTATATGCATAAAAATGCATGTGAAATAAGGCCATTCAATTACAGTGGCCTGACTGAACCTTGTATAAATGTAGGGGGACAGAATATAAGGAAATAAAGGTAGTATAGAAAGTAATCTTATCCCCTAAAGAGTTGCAGCTGGGCTAATTATTAAAGATTAGGAGCAGGCCTGACTTTAACAGGCCACAGCTGTAGCCAATCAGGAGAGTGTTATAAAAGAGTGGATTGGTGGGTTGAGGGCTCTGGAGTCAGTTGGCTGCTGTGAGGACAAGGAAGAGTCGGTGCCTAGAGGAGCTGCCTATGAGAAACATCAAGGAGGTATGGAATTCTAGCACTATGGAACCCTTGCAATGTAACAACAATAGAACTCTTGCAATATAATAACAACATATAAACGGTCTCCTACTGAGGAAGAATGGTTTTAACTTGGTTTAACAGTGTAAATGCAAGTGAGCCTGCGCATCACAGCCCAAAACCTCAGTGAATGTCATGCTGAAACTGGCTAAGTTGGGATCTTCCAGCTACAAAACAAGCCCCACCTAACAAAACCCAGAACTGCCTTGCCTATGAACTTGGGGTCATTATCACTCTGAATTCTACTGTTACTTGTTTCAATTCTGTCAGTAAGTACACATACATCTAAATCTGTGTTTAACATTAAATATGTTAAACACATAGTGTGGCTTATCAAACAACATACATTTTTACTATATATGAAAGGGTATAAAGATATAAATTCCTCTGTGCTGTTCATTTTTTGGCTTCACAGCATCTAATTTTTTACATACTTAATCAAAAAAATTATGCAAATCCCCAATGTTTTCCTCTTAAAACTGAATCACCTCAATGAAGAGGTTCTGGTTTCTTGGTGATAAAGGTGGGCAGAAACATGTTTAAAGACTCTGGAGTAGGGAAAAAAATTAAGATTTTTGCAGAAACATCCTAATTCAAGCAAAACAGAATTGTATATTCTTTAGTGATTAAATAATTAACCTAAGGAATTAATAAGTGTTATGTAATTTTAGTATTTGGATGATTTTTACAAATTTCAGGGTTTTATTCTCCAAAAAATGATGACTTTTTAAAAATGAGAATTTAAACTAAAGCAATGAGAATCTGAAGATTCTCATTAAAAACTGAAAGCTGATGGTCTAAGCATGGG